CTCTAGCATGCGACAGGGACAAATGGAGACATTTCTGGCGCCCGCTCAAGCAAATCGATGATTAACAGGAAGTCAAGTGATCAAGTGATGACCTCCAAAGGTTGATTTAAGAATCATGCCCATGAGAATGCAGACTGGTTCAGCCTTTCAGGAAAACAGTATGGATGATTCTCAAAAAATTAGAAATTGAGCTCCCATTTGACCCAGCAATACCACTCCTGGGAATATATCCCAGAGAGGCAAAAAAGTATAGTCGAAGTGACATCTGCACTTGTTTGTTCACTGCAGCACTGTTTACAATAGCCAGAATCTGGAAAAAACCTGAGTGCCCGAGAACAGATGACTGGTTAAAGAAACTTTGGTACATCTACATAATGGAGTACTATGTAGTGTTAGAAAAGATGAAGTCATGAAATTTACATACAAGTGGTACTACATGGAAAGTATCATGTTAAGCGAAATGAGTCAGAGAGGGATAGACATAGAAAGATTGCATTCATCTGGGGGACATAAAGTAACAAAATAGGAGACTAACACCCAAAAGTGGCCGAGATTAGTACCAGGAGTTTTACTCCATGGCCTGGATGTCAGCCGCACATTCTAGGGGAAAGGGGAGCTCAGATAGAGAAAGGAGCACCAAATAAAGGTTGTTGGGAGGATCCTCCCAGGATGGGAGAAGCATGCTGAAAGTAGACTATAAACCAAACATGATTGCCACTCAATGCCTCTCTTGCAAACCACAGAACCCAAAAGGAGAGAGAGAACAAAAGGGAATACCCTGTCACAGAGGCATGGTGGGATGGATCGGATGGAGGGTGGGAGAAATACTGGGACCCGTGGTGGTGGAAAATGGGCACTGGTGGAGGGATGGGTGTTTGATCATTGTATAATTGAAACCCAAGCACAAAAATTTGTAAATCTACAACTGTACCACATGGTGTTTCACTAATAAAAATTAAAAAATAAAGAAAAGAAAAAGAAAAAATAGAATCATGCCCATGAATCACCTACAGAACCATATAAATTCATTCACCAGCCATGATCCAGATATCTCAAAAGAGATCAATTGCAGAGATTTTCTCATTTCCTGCACAATGCTGAGTTGTTCAGAGCACCCTGGAGTGAGATGGGTGAGCCCAACACCCACCCAACAGCGTCGAAACTGCCAAAAACTCCACACTCCACAATTGCTACCATGTTCCCGTCTGGACTCTATTGCTTGGGATGAGCCTCATCCAAGATTAATCTGTTGAAAACACAAGTATCTGGTTTTTGTGACTGAAATCTCCAGGCTTTCATGGAGTAGGGATGGGCTACCTTCCCCCTTCTCCCTGTACCCCCACTTCTCCCTGTACTTCAGGAAACCCTGGCAGTCACCCTCCCCCCAATACACCACCCACTGAAAAATTTAACTCCTAACAGTATCATCCCATTAAAAATGTTGGACTTCTTGGATCATGCGGCCACATTTGCGGCCACCAAAATCTCAAACTCCACAACACTGATAAACCAGGAGAAATACACCAGATATGATACAATGTAATATAGAATGCAACCAAAATCATTGAACAAAATATCAATGCATAAGGCCTAACCTGTAACAACATTTTAGTAATCTCTTATACAAGGGCTTAATAGATGCATGGTGAGATACAACAACTTCACTCACTAACTTTCTTCTGAGAAAACATTTTTGATATTTATTTTAGCAAATTATAACAAGCTATATAAAATAAATTATTGAGGGCCTGCTATGGGGACAGGCTTAAGGGGTGGTTGGGAAAATTGGAGATAATGGTGGTGGAAGGTGTGGTGGTTGCATTGGTGTTGGTATATAGAATATCTATCAAATCATCATAAACGACTTTGTAAACCACAATGTTTCTATAAAGTGTAAGGAGAAAAGAAAACTTAAATAAGTAAATCAGTAAATCAATAAAAAGAAGATATGGAACAACTGAACAGACCAATTACTATGGAAGAAATTGGAATGATAATCAAGTCCTCCCCCCGCCCTCAAAAAAATGCCAAGATCCAGATAGATTCAACCTTTAAGATGGACTTACTGCCAATTTTTTTCAGGCTATTCCAGGAAATCAGAGAAACAGCAACACTCCCAGTTTCTACAAGGCATAATTATCTTCATACCAAAAACAGACAAATACAGCACAAAAAAGGAAAACTACCAACTATTTTCCCTCATGAAACTAGATGCAAAAATTCTCAATAAAATGCTAGCAAATCAAATTCATAAACACATCAAAAAGTCATGTACACCATGACCAAATAGGATTCATCTTGAGGATGCAAGGATGTTTTAACATATGCAAGTCACTCAATGTAGTGCACCATATTAATACAAGAAAAATAAAGATTATATGATCATATCAGATGACAGAAAAAGATTTGACAAGATCCAACACCCATTCATGATAAAAAAAAAAACTTCTCAATAAAATGGGAGAGGAACTTTCCTTAACATAGTTAAAGCCATTTACCAAAAGCCCACATCAAATATACTTAATGGTGAAAAAAGAGCCTTCCTTCTAACATCATGCACAAGACAAAGTTGCCCACTCTAACCACTAGTATTCAATATAATAATGGAAGTCTTTGCCATAGCAATTAGGCAAGAAGGTACATTAAGGACATCCAGATAGGAAAAGAAGTCAAGCTCTATTTGCTGATGACATAATTTATATTCAAAGAATATCTAAATACTCTACAAAAAAGCTCCTAAAAACAAGAGACTTGTAAAGTGGCAGACTGTAATGTCAATATGCAAAAGTCCATGGCTTTTCTATATGCAAATAATGAAAGAGATTAGTTTTAAAAAAAGAAAAAGCATCCCTTTCACAATTGTTCCTCAGAAAATCAAGTACAAAGAAATCAGTCTAACAAAAGAGGGGAATGATCCATACAAAGAAAACTACAAAACACTACTAAAAGAAATAAAAGAGAACACCAGGAAATTGATATTAAATAGCGCCAAAACCTTTGAGTATGAAATTGAATTTTGGGGGATTTGGGGGGGGGTTGCCGTTTGGAGGGCATGCTGGATGATGCTCATGGATTTCTACTGACAATATTCAGTGCTTGAGGATTCCCTGTGACCAAACCTGAGTCAGCCTCATGCAAGACAAATGTCCTACTCATTATACTACTCCAGCCCCTTTGAGTATGAAATTGGAAAACTCCAGATAGCTCTTCTTGCTCTAGACACAACCATATTACATACAAGCTTTAGTTTCTTCAAAGTTGAAGATGAGAACTGGAAAGACAGTTCATGGGGTAAGGTGTTTGCCTTTTATGTTCTGAGTTAAATCCTCAGAACCACATATGGCCCCGCAAGCACCACCAGGAATAAGCCCTTAGAACAGAGTTAGGAATAAGCCCTGATGCAAAACCAAAAATATTAAAACTTCAACATGACCTTAAAGATTCATGCAAAGCAAATTGAATGTAAGAATCCATCTAGTTTCAATTAATATGATCTTCCCTATCACCACCAAATTTTTGCATTTGCCTCACATACACATACTTTGGCAGGGTTTTTAATAATTAGTCTCTGTGAAATCTTACCATATCTAACCAAAAATTTCCACTTAATGGAAAGCTTATTGTAAACAGCTCTTTTTTTTCTCCTCATGTTTTACTGTTTTGTATGACATGAATAATTTTAATAACATACAGTTGGCATGAACAAGTTTAGGTAAAAAATTCATTGCTTTTGATAAGCTTGCAAAGTGTGACTGGGTAGAATAAAACTTTGTAAAGTTATAGTGCCTGTACCACACAGTGTTGTCTGTCTTTTTTTTTTCTTTAGATTTTTTTTTTTTGTGAAACACCTTGAGGTACAGTTGTAGACTTATGAATTTTTGTGCTTGGGTTTCAATTATAGAATGATCAATTATAGAATGACCCATTCCTCCACCAGCGCCCATTTTCCACCACAAATGATCCCAGTACCCCTCCCACCCTCCATCACCCCCATCCCACCATGCCTCTGTGGCAGGGCATTCCCTTTTGTTCTCTCTCTGTCTTTTTGGGTGCTGTGCTTTGCAAAACAGGCATTGAGTGGCAATCATGTTTGGTCTATAGTCTACTTTCAGCATGCAACTCCCATCCTGGGGGGATCCTCCCAACAACCTTTACTTGGTGCTCCCTTCTCTATCTGAGCTGCCTTTTCCCCTAGCATGTGCGGCTGGCCTCCAAGCCATGGAGTGAACCTCCTGGTACTTATCTTGGCTATTCTTGGGTGTTAGTCTCCAATTTTGTTACTTTATGTTCCCCAGATGAATGCAATTTTTCTGTCCCTCTCTTTCTGGGTCCTTTCGCTTAGCATGATACTTTCCATATAGTACCACTTGTATGTAAATTTCATGACTTCATCTTTTCTAACACTACATAGTACTCCATTATGTAGATGTACCAAAGTTTCTTTAACCAGTCATCTGTTCTCGGGCACTCAGGTTTTTTCCAGATTCTGGCTATTGTAAACAGTGCTGCAGTGAACAAACAAGTGCAGATGTCACTTCAACTATACTTTTTTGCCTTTCTGGGATATATTCCCTGTGGCATTTCTGGGTCAAATGGGAGCTCAATTTCTAATTTTTTGAGAATTGTCCATACTGTTTTCCAAAGAGCTGAGCCAGTTGGCATTCCCACCAGCAGTGAAGGAGGTTCCCTTTCTAGCCACATCCGCTCCAACAGCGGTTGCTTTTTTTCTTTTGGATGTGGGCCAGTCTCTGTGGTAGTGTTGTCAGTCTTGACTCTAGTTGCTTTTGTCTTCATCATAATTTAGTTGTATGAAAATTTAAAATATATTAATTATTTTACCAAATAAAATTTATACTTGTAGTTATTTATGTCTTTTTCAGTGACTCTTGCCTGAATTTTCTTTGCCCAGATGCATAAACATAAAATGACAAAACTACCCATGTTAATGTTAAAGTTTTACAAAATATTCATAAAAATATTCAGACTGTCTTTTTTTACAGATTTTTCACAAAAATGAAGCTGTTATTCTTACTAATAGTCTCGGTATATGTGAGTGTCCCAGAATTGAATTTTTGAGGCAGAAGCAAAAGGATGAAAATAAAAATTCTTTTGATCATGAGGATTTCAGACATGGTAAATACAAATATACAGTAGTTTTGAACTTTTATATTCTATTGTGAATGCATTCATTGTTTTCATAACATTTCTGATACTTGGTTTTAGCAACCTAGACATTTTTCTGAAACCATTTTATTTAATATTGTATATGACTTTCTGTTAATTATTTTAGACAGGTTGTCAACACATATTTCCCTGTGTCAATATTAATAGTATGAAATCCACTTATTATTGATATATAATTATTGAAACGGAATTTATATGAAATAGAGAAACTTTTCACAGTGTAATTTTGTTCATTAAGTGTGTTCAAAAAATAAAACATACGTATCCATAGTACATACTGCATAACCGCAAATTTATAGGAAGAGAAAAACCTGTTTGTGTAATCATCTCTCTTACAGAGTACTCAGGAAGGCAAACTTTATAAATTGTCCTTAATCATCATAATATTAGAGGAGACAAAAATATGGGTATAAATATAAAACTGGATGATGACAAATTGTGAAGTGAAATGAATTAATTTATAATCCATCTTCTATAAGACAAAATATTATTTTAATTTATTCACTGTTATCAGTGCTTTATAATATGTATTTTGAATACATATAAATAAAAGAACATGAGTTGATATTGACTATGTGTAAATAAAAGCACATAAGTTGAGTACTAAACTTCAGGGAGAAGATCCCTGGTATCCACAGATTGGGGTAATAAGCATCTCATTCTGTCTTTTCTTGCCTCACCCTTGTCCACAGTCCTTCAGTTGCTCTGGTTTTTATTGAATACCATTATATATTATCAGTTGGCAGGTGACAGGAATACTTACCATGCAAAATGGAAATAATTTCTCCTTTATGTCACTTAAAAATATTAATAAATAATACTATTAAGTTATCACCACAATTGCAAGGAATATGTAATAAAGAAACTTATCAGGCCAGGGAGAAAGTACCACCTATTCTTTCACTTCTTTATCAGTCTTTCATAGCTGCAAATTTGGGTAATTTATATATTTGTTGGTTTTGTTTAGGGGTCATACCCAGCTGTGTTCAGGGTTTACTCCTGGCTATGCACTCAGGAATCACTCCTGGCTGAGGTCAGGGGACCATTTGGGATGCCGGCTCAGCCTCGTGCAAGACCAGTGCCCTATACTATCTCTTTTTTTTTTTAATTTTTATTAGTGAGACACCATGAGGTACAGTTGTAGACTTACAAATTTTGTGCTTGGGTTTCAATTATTCAATGATCAAATACCCATCCCTCCACCAGTGCCCATTTCCTACCACCACGGATTCCTGTCTCTTTGACCCCTGGTTAATATAATTTTTATAAAAGATTGCACATTATAGATCTGCGAAGGTGCTTCATGTTGAACTAAGTTATGTACATGTGTTTTATAGCTATTAATAATCAGAAAATTAAACAGGTTATTAAGCTTTGAAAGAAATCTTATTTAAGAAAAAAACATTTGCTTCTTTTTTCTCATTCTTCATTTTCATCTTCATAGCTGCTTCATTGTGTTTTTCTGTAAATCCTTTTAATATATGTTCTCCAGAACAAAGCAAAGCCTCCCTATTTATATTTTATAATTTTCATAGTTTAAAATGCCATCTGAATGTCTTATGCACAGAAATCAGAAACTATTTTATGATTTCAGTTCCTCCTAAAGATAGAGTTTAGAAAATTCCAAGGTTTCTTAAGTGTCTAAAGGGGAAATAATGCCTGTTTAGTCAGTAATTGAATACCTCCTACCATTTCAGCTATGTGTGAGGTACTGATGATATAGAAATCAATTTTATCCAGTTAGCAAGTACAACTTTCTCATTTTAAATTATTTAATTAAAATATTCTTTAAGTCTTCCTTTTCTATAAATCTTTGATGTTATATTAATTTTATTATAATAGTATTATTAATATCATTTTTTAGAATATGCTATAGCAAATACCAACCTCCTGTTTTTGATCAAATAGTGTGCTGTGTGCTATATGGTAGCAAATTACAAACCATGACCTCTGCCAAAAAACAATCATATCTCAGACCAATAAGGAAAGTGATATTGGAAAACTGCTAAAATGAGTTGTTAAAATATTTGTTTGTGTTTTTCACATTTAGGCATCCTCCTCATTACGAAGGTTTTCCTTGGCCATTGTGTTCAGGCGTATGAACAGGACTCAATCAGTAAAGAAAACTATCCAATGGTTAATTCAGTATTCCTTCCTCGAAAAATTTTACTAAGTATGTCTGAGATAAAGATAATTATGATTTGTTTGGGGTTTTTGGCGGGGGAAGGTGTGGATGGTGAGAAGGTGGGAGGGAGTGCAGAACACACTGAGCAGTGCCCAGAGCTTACTCCTGGCTCTGCATTTAGGAATCACTACCGGCAGACCCAGGGGACCATATGAGATGTTTGATATTGAACCCAGGGCAGCAGTGTTGCAAGGCGAGTGCCAGACCTGTTTGGCCCTGAGAATTATGTGTTTTAATTTCTGAATTCAAAATGTATTTGATGTATTCTTTGCATTTGATGTGTAATTTCTACCTTTAAGAGTTTGTAAAATTTTCTACAAAAACCTTTTCCTAGCTACCAAAGAGCATCTATTCTCTATTTCACTGACATTTACATACCTATGTATGCGTATATACTTTATGAACTTTTTGGGTTTGTTTTTGAGCCAAACCCAGCAGTGCTCAGGACTTACTCCTGGCTCTGCACTCAGAATCACTTCTGGTGACTCAAATGACTAAAAGATGCTAAGTGGACTTGGGTCAGCTGCATGCAAGGTAAGCACCTACCCTCTGTGCTGTATCATTCAGGCCCCCTGAATGATGAACCTCCTGAATCTCAAATAAACTATTTGAGATTTTTTTTTTGTGTGTATGTATGCTTGTGTGTGTCAAAGGGTAACAAAAACAACCTTTAATAAAGATTTTTTTAATTTTTATTAGTGAGACACCTTGAGGTACAGTTGTACACTTACAAATTTTTGTGCTTGGGTTTCAATTATACAATGATCAAATACCCATCCCTCCACCAGTGCCCATTTCCCACCACCACGGATCCCAGGATCCCTCCCACCCCCCACCCCACCCCCATCCCACCCTGCCTCTGTGGCAGGGCATTCCCTTTTAATAACAAAGATTTTAAAGCAATAAATAATCCATTTGCCAGAACAGTATAGCTAGGGTCAGAAAGGTAGTAAAGCAGTTAGGGCGATTGCCTTGCAAACAGCTAACCCAGTTTCAATCACCCACACCGTAAATGGTTTCCTGGGCCCACCAGAATGGTCTCCAAGCACAGGACCAGGAGTAAGTCCTGAGCGCTGCCAGGTGTGACCCAAAAGCACCACCACCAACAACCTGTATTAGCCAAATATTGAAAAGAAAAGTTGAAAAAGTATTAAAGGGAAAAGATATGTATAGGAGCCAGAGAGATATTCCAGAGTTTAAGCACTTGCCTTTCATGTGGCTGACTCCAGTTGTATCCCTGGCCCTGGAGCAATCCCTGAGCACCACTGGGAACAACTTCTGAGCACTACCAGGTGTGGTCCAACTCCAATTAAATATATTAAACCCTACTAGTATATTTTGTGGCAAAAATTGTTCATATTAACAGATATTAAACTTTAGGGGGTGGAGAAATAAGGAGGAAAGCCCTCAGTAGGGCTAGAGAGATGGTTCAATACACTGGAGCACACGTTTTCCATGAGAGAGGCCCAGGTGTGACCTCAGCACTGCACAGTCCCCTGAGCACTGCCAGTAGTGGCCTCCAGTCATGGAACTGGGAGTAGCTCCTGAGTGTTGCTAGGTGTGGCCCAGAAATAAATTCAATCAAATAATAGTAGAAATTTGTTGTTTGTTATTTATTGATCTATATAAGAATGAAAAGGCATTTAACTTTTGAAGAATAATTTTGCTTGCTTGTTTGTTTCTGTTTGGGATTTTACTCCAGATTCTGTCGTGGGACATGGGAAATGTGACTGTAGCATTCGGCACTGCAAGTGGTTTGTCTTTGATCATGACCTTGTTTTACCAGAATATGTTGTGGAATTTGAGTATCTTACAATGGTAAGAATACATTTTTAAAACTTGAACTTTGAAAATGAGAACAGAGCAGTAGTTTGAAGTCTAGTAACATTAGGCCATGTTTATAGGCTGTATTTAATTATTTTATAAAGAATTAATTTTCAAAACAAAACTTTGTGACACCTATTTTATTATGCAAATATATTATATGAGTAATATGTGGCTGTGTGCATTGGAAAAGATTGAAACCATATAGAATAAATAGGAATTTTATTTTACTTCAGTCATATAGCCACTTTCTTCACAAAGCTATCCACTGTTAATAGATTTATGAATTTGCCTTCATTCTTATTTCTGTGCATTTAGATATAACTAATATATATAGTTTATACAATAGAATGTAGTTCTAATAGTTCTATCTTCTTTCCTCTAATATGTCTTACATATATTTTCATTTTAATACATATTAATACATATTTTAATACATTTTAATACATTTAATACATTAATACATATTTTAATACATTTTAATACATATTTTTCATTTTAATACATATTTTCATTTTAATACGTATTAATACACATATAATACTGTGACAATCGTACTATAATTTGACTATTTTGTTACAAATGTTGATAACACACGTCTAGTTTTATTACTATTCAAACAGTATTTCTGGCATAAGATATAGCTTAGTGGTAGAGTGCATACCCCCGATATATGAATTTCTGGGTTTGATCTCAGGTCTCACTAAAATAAATATACATAAATTAGTAACAGTACTTCACTGAAAGTCACTGTATGATTTTGTACATGCATATCATCATATAGGCATATATATATGAATGTTTCTCATCAGGATAAAGTTGTGGAAGAATTAATCAAAGAGCCTTTACATTTTTGGTAGATTTTTGGTAGATTTTAACAATTTTCTCCACAAACGTTTGACTATTTACAAATTCCCAGCAATGTGTGAAGTACTTATTTTTCTGCATCCTGAGCAATATGATACTATTCTTCTTTTCCACTCTGATGGGCAAAAAAGGGATATTTATTTTTCATATTGAGTAAATAGAAAGAAATTACATGTTTCTTTCTGAATGAGGCAAAATATTTTGATAAAAATATTATCAGTAGCTTGCTGGGCTAAGTAGTAATGGGTATTTTTATTTTCATGTGCTTTTTGACTGTATATCATCTCTGAATAAGTGATAATCAGATTTTCTACCTATTTTTATGGGGTTATTTCATTTGTTCTTACTGTGGAGTTGTATGGGTTTATATACCAGGACTATTAACCCTTTGTCATGCCCAATGTGTCAATATTCTTTTGAATACTGTCAGGTGTCTTTTCATTTAAATAATAAGATATTGAGGTTTTATTGCTGTGTTGTGGTTGTTGTTTTAGATTATAGAGAAGTATTTTTGTTTAGTGTAGTCCCATTTATTTATTTGTTCATTTTGGTTTTCTTACTGTTAGAGTCTAGTCTCTAAAGACCACTCTGGCTAACATTACTAATTATGTATTTAACCATATTCATTTGATTTCTCAGACCTTTTATTAAAAAATGTAATATCTTATCACAGTTTATTTCATTGACTTTGAAGTGCTTACCATATTCTCTTCAATAGTAACCTATTTTATTATATATGCTTTATTTTCCCATATTTTTCAAAGATTCTTTTTTAAGTGACTTTGTTTCCCTAGAACTAGTCTGATTTGTTCATATTGTTTTTGCTCACTCATTCACACTTCTTACCATAATTATATACTTGTCTTACAGTTACTTAGAGGACTGTTCTTTGTTTACTCTGAAATCAAATTTCTACAGATGTGGTCTTCTCTATATGCTTTGACACTACAGGTTACATTTTTGTTCCTCTTTGTCTATCAGTTCATTTGCTCCTAATTATTCTAGTCTTTTGTGTTCAAAATACTAGAATACAATTCTAGTTCTTTGTATCAACTATTACACAATATTTTTTAAAATTATCTCTTGCCTGTTTTAAAGGATTTTCAATGGGAGAGGTGAATACAACCATTCTTAGCCATAATTTTAATCTGGTCTCATATATTTCTTAATTTATTCTTACATCATAGATATTGCTACCTAACTGAAAAATGAATTATTTCTACATAGCCTGTTTCTTTTTCAAGATGATAAATACAGCAACCAAAATATTTTTAATAATTTTTTAGGTCAAGTCTCTCTCTTTATTTTCCTCATTCAACAATATAATTTCAGAAGAATGCAAAACAAATTTAGGAGAAACAGTGTCCCAAGATTTGAAATTTGATGATGAAGTGATAAGAATGGATCCCAAGATTAAGTCCAGACCAAAACTTGTTAGTTTGAATGACAAAGCAATATATTCCCTTGCCAAGACTAGCAGTTTCAATCATATTGTGGTAAGCATCATGCCATTTAAAGTCATATATTAGATCATTTTCTTCTATATATGTAAATATATAAAAGATACATATTTTATTTAATATATTTTCTTCAATATATATAAATAATTCTAAAAATAATTATGATCTTTAGTCTATAACCTGCCTTTTTTTTTTATTTTGTGACCTCAGTCTCTGAATCTACATGGAAACAGTTTGAGTAAGTTGAGAGACCTCTCCAAGTTGACAGGACTTCGAAAACTTAATATAAGCTTTAATGAATTTACTTGTTTAGATGAAGTATACCACTTGGTAAGAACTATTCTTTTAAAATGATTTAAATGAAATAATTGTGTGAATGAGTTAATTCTTGTAATTGACCTCATATCTAACATATTTTAACATGTATAGCTCAGATTGGTAACAAAGCATATATACACTTTCTATAAAAAGACCTTCAGTTTAAATCCTCTTTGAAGACCAGATACACATCACTGATCACATCAGTTTCTAGTTTCTTTTTTTCTTTTTCTTTTTGGGTCACATCCAGCAATGCACAGGGGTTGTTACTCCTGGCTTTGCACTCAGGAATTACTCCTGGAGGTGTTTGGGGGACCATATGGGATGCTGGGAATCGAACCCGGGACGGCTATATGCAAGGCAAATGCCCTACCCACTGTACTATTTATTGCTCCAGCCTTCATCAGTTTCTAGTTTCACAGGTCCCTCTGTTGTTTATATGTTTATGAAAAATTGTGCCACTGATTTTATGATATTTTATGGCTGTATTCTCTTCCCTCAGTCTGTTCTAAAGTTTCTCTTTTCTTTTCCTGTTCATCATTATTCTGTTTAATTTTGACTTAGTCACAGTAGTTTCTTCTCTCAGAAGCATTCTGCTCCAGAAGGCAGCCCTGGTGTGACAGTATAGAGAATGATAGTCTACGCCAACTTTGGTAGGTCATTCTCCTGCATCAGTGGAAGCAAAACTTCTGTCTTCAGCAGGTGTACTCAAGTTGGTTCCCATACTTTTCAGTGCATATTGGCCATTTTGAGGCTCTCTTTGTTCTCAGGTCCATTAGATACTTCCTTCTTCCTCTCACAGATATGGACACCACAGATCTTGTGGTTGTTGGCAGTAAATTAACTTCTCTGTGTACTTTTGAGGATACTTTGTCACATATCTTTGTTATAAACATTTCCCATGTGATTTTGTTTTATTCATTTAATCTGTTTTTGTGTGTAGTCTCAGGGAATTTTAAAACCTATACTGCCTTCACTCTATGTTCTCTAATAATTTGCCTTGCGTGTACTGTGGAGATCAGCTGTGAGCATGGCAGCGATTGAGTTCTAGAGGTTTTTGGCTCCTGGGGTTTTGTTGGGGCTGGGAGGGTAACATACCCACCTCACTCCAGATTGCCCTTTAATTAATTAATTTGTTTTTATGGTTATACACCTGAGGTTAATTTAATTTTTTTTTTACTGAACAGTAACTTTGGGGTCCAGAGGCCATCTCTGCTGCATGGGCATGTCGTTCTATGTTGGTCTTTGTTTATTTTGCTTTTGGGGTCACACCCAGCAATGCTCAGGGGTTACTCTGGCTCTGCACTCAGGAATCACTCCTGTCAGTGCTTGAGGGACTATATGGGATGCCAGGAATTGAACTCGGGGTCGGCTGCGTAAAGGTAAACACCCTCCCCACTGTACTATCACTCTGGCCCCTATGTTGCTCTCTTCTGAGAGATTTATTTATGAGTCTCTGGATCATGGCTATTAATAAGCTTATATGGAGCCAGAGACAGTTCATGGGTGAGACCACCAGGCTACCAGAGAAGCACTGGGAGATTGTGGGAAGGTTGCTCTTTCCCGACTCTGTGCAAGCCTGGAGTTTTCAGTCACAAATCCCTCAAACTTGAGTTTTTCAGCAGATTTACTCACAGATGAAGCTCATCTGAACTGTGGAGATCAGCTGTGAGCATGGCAGCGATTGAGTTCTAGAGGTTTTTGGCTCCTGGGGTTTTGTTGGGGCTGGGAGGGTAACATACCCACCTCACTCCAGATTGCCCTTGATGAGACAGCCTGGTGCGGGGTCCAGAAGTATCTCTGTGGCATGTCATTGAATGTATGTTTAATAATGATTGTTTATCCCAGTAGTATAAATGGTAATTTAGTTTAATTATTTATCTGTAATTTCTAATTCTTCTATTTTTTTCTATTTGCTTTGGATGTATCAAGTTTAACTATCATTTTTTTACACTTGTATCTTATATGAAGACTTTCCATATTCTACATGCTATAAATTGATTCTGCTAGATTGCAAAATATAAATATGTTACGTTTTCATCATCCTGATCTTACCTTGTGTATCACAATACCCAACCAAAAAATATTTCTAAATGGAAGGCCTGGGCTTCATAAATGGTAAAAAAATAAATATAATGTATGGCTTGTACAGAATTTGAATCTATAATCAAGACATCAGCAGAAAATAAAATCTCCTAAGCTGCATATTTGACTCATACACCTGAACTATCAAATAAAAAGAATATCTGGTTGTTGGAGTACAAGGAGCTTAGGTTTATCAGGTTGCACCCATCACAGTGTTCCCAAATCATTCCCATTACTTTGTCTGTAACCACTTCTATGCTCTCTTTCCCAACCAATTTGTAAGGTCTCATCCTTCTAGGACACTCAACTTGTACTGTAAGTTAATATTGCCTTTCTCCTCTCCTTATGTCTTATTTATTTATTTATTTATTTATTTATTTATTGAATCACTGTGGGAAAGGTTACAAAGCTTTCAGGTTTAGGTCTCAGTCATGCAAATATCAAACACATTTCCCTTTCCCAATACTTATTTTTTACCATGAAGAACCCCAATAGAACCCCACCCCCCACCCCTCCCAGTCCCTGTGAGGCAGATGAATTCTAGTTAACACTCTATCTGCTTTGATTAGATTCATTGTTTCAATAAAAGATTCACCACTATTATTTAGAGTTTACCCCCCCCCCAAATCAGACATGCTGAAAAAGCATTGTGAAGTGATTTGCTTTCTACAGCTGGGTTCAAGAATTAAATGTTGGTTTTGGATTTAGGCTATTTTACCTATTGACCCTGGAAGTATTTCTACTGAAAGTCAGATAGTTAAGAAATTGGTTTCTGTGTTCTGGAGTCGTGGTCGTGCTGGAGAGCCGCTCGTGGGGGGCAACTGTTGGCCTCGGTAGGGCGTGAAGGGCGGACCGAAACGCCCCCCTTCCCATGAGGTTTTAGTCGCCCCCATACCCCCGGCTCATACCTGCTGTCCACAAGGCTCCCATGCGGCCGCCATCTTTCTTTCCAGAGAGGAGAGGGCAAATGGGACAACACCCTTTCCCTTCCGGACAGACATGATGGCCTGGATTAACACATAGTCCGTTCACTTTTCTGCTCCAAGCTGCCGGGTTCTGCATTAAGTCCTTATGCTTCTGGGGCCGTGGCTGTGCTGGAGAGCCGCTCGTGGGGGGCAACTGGTGACCTCGGTAGGGCGTGAAGGACGGACCGGAACGCCCCCCTTCCCATGAGGTTTCAGTCGCCCCCACACCCCCGGCTCATACCTGCTGTCCACAAGGCTCCCATGTGGCCGCCATCTTTCTTTCCAGAGAGGAGAGGGCGAATGGGGCAACACCCTTCCCCTCCTGACAGACATGATGGCCTGGATTAACGCATAGTCCTTTCACTTTTCAGGAAGCAGAAATTCTTGACCTGCATAACAAATGGACAATGACCCAGCATATTGCACTCAAACACCCTCCTTATGTCTTTTGAATAGTTTACTTTAATGCAATGTCCTTTTTGTATAGATACAGGAAGACAATTAATATTATGCTTTATAACTTAGGAGTTAATTGGCTTTGAATATTATTCACTCCCAGGCATCTGCTTTCTCAACTTAAGCCTCAGTTGCCCTCACTTCCTAGCACCCCAAGAGCAGGGTCCCGACGTGGGACTGAATGGAACCAGGGCAAGCTGGTGAGTTATGTGCTACCCTGGCATCGAGATGAGCCAGGCCAAGGTGTCACAATTCTTAACTATAGGTTAAGAGTTTCATCATAGGCAAATGATCCAAAAGTAACAATGAGACTAGGATCCTGCTGCTAGGGATAGGAAAGATATCTGGCCCGAGCACTGCAGTCTGAGATCGAGATGGCCCTAGGAGAGCAATTCTATAAGCTTAAAGTATTTCTTACTGTGTTCATACAAAATGATTTATATTATGTATGCTTATATGTTTGTTGGACAAGGAGAGGAGAAACACACCCAGAGAATTCTGTTCTAGCGTGAGTCGATCTGCTAAGTGAGAGTCTGCCCTAGAAACTGCTTTCCCATGTGTCCTGACTAGCTTGGATGAGACTGAACATTTCTCCCCTTCATCTGCCTTCAGTAAATAATTTCAGTATATTGTAAGAGGCAGCTTCCCTTATCTCACAGAAACCTAGCTGGTCTTAGATATGCAGATCTCAGGTGCTAGCCAGGCCTGGTCTTTAGATGTAGATTCCAAGCTCTAGAAGACTGGTCTTTGGGATGCAAATCCAAGTGCTTGTAGCTTGTGAAAGGTTTCAGTCTTGGTTTTTGTATCTTCTTTCCCGAGGCCAAGATCACTGGCCTGTAGATGTAAAGAAACCATGTATGGTTTGCCGCCTCAATGTAACTCCTTTTGATGACATCACTGTATTGCGCCCTTTAGAGGTACCATGATCTATAAGGGAGATTTCAGGGCTCTCTGGGGAACACGTGCCTTAGAGAACCTGGGAACACGTGCCTGAGAGGATGGGGAACACAGGCTGAGAGAATGGGGACAAAAGCCGAGAGAATGGGGAGCACATGCTTGAGAGATCCTGGTGCCTCTATGACATAAACTTCTTCCATGTAATAAACTGCTGCTAAGACCAACCGGCCTGACCCTCGTTTCCTTCCTCCACCTGACCATCGCCATTGACCTCCCTGGAATGGGGAAATGGCCTGAAACTACCAAACGCGGGCGGTGGGAGAGATAGGCCGCTGCCGTCCCTTTGCCCGTCCTTTTTTGTGTGTTTACACATCTGGTTTTAAAAAATAATGCTTTTCTTTAGAATTTTTATTAGTGAGACACCATGAGGTACAGTTGTAGACTTACATATTTTGTGCTTGCTTGGGTTTCAATTATACAACGATCAAATACCCATCCCTCTACCAGTGCCCATAAATAATGCTTTTTAAAATCTGAAAATATCTCTGCCATAGAGTTGTCCAGAAAAGATAAAAATAAATGACTATTTACTATTTTAAATTATATTAATCCCTATATTTTTAAATTAAACAAATACTTCCTGGTGGGGGGTTTAGACCACACCCAACTGAGATCAGAAATTACTCCTAACTCTCTGCTTTAGGGATCACATATGGTGGGGATTGGGAGACCATTTGGGGTGCCAGAGATTGATCCCAGGGTGCAAAACCAGTGCCCTACCCTGTGTGTTACTACTCCAGCCCATAAAAAATACTGTTGTCTTATTTCAAGTTAAGCAATGTATTGTTAATATGTTCCCTATGTCTAATGATAACTAATCTACTTTGAATTATGAGCCATTCTCCCTAAGAATATTTAAAACAAGTATTGTGGGTTTCAATCCTGTGAGATGGATAGTATTGTACTGTAAATTAAGAAAGACTTGTTGAAATACAAGAAATAATAAAGCAGAAAACTTTGCAAAACTGGGAATAATATCCATAGATATTTACTGAATTCATAGAGTATAGTTTATGTCCAAGGAACTAAAAAGTGAAGATTCTGCCCCAGTTCCTGGGGAAAGAAAGACAGTTGTCTTTTTAAGACTCATGGTTCAACAATGATAGTCCCAAATGTTACTGTGGGTTCCACAGTAAAAACCAGGAGCCTTGCTATCAAAGAAGCATAATTTTTTATTTGTTGGGAACAAATATATTGCCTTTTGCTTTGTTTTGCTTTGTTTTACTTTAGGTTTTTTTTAACCTGTTCTTTTATGAAAACAAACAGTTATACTCTTTAATAGCAAGGCATAAAATAAAAATTTAGAAGAAATGAAGAAAATGCTTTAGTAGCTCTTTAAGAGAATACATAGATGTCATTATTGCAGTATAATGTCTAGGTTTTCTGTAAGGATTATCAAAAAGAATAAAATACTTAGAAAATCAAGGAACTGTAAGTATTATTTGAATACAAAGCCTGGCCTTTTATTATCACTTCTATTTGTTGCAGTACAACCTTGAATATTTGGATGCAAGTCATAATCATGTGATAACTCTCGAGGGATTTAGAGGTCTTATGAAACTGAAGTATTTAGACTTGAGCTGGAATCAACTAAAAAAGTCTGGTGAGGAAATAAATGTACTATGCAAACAAACCACAAACCTCCTCTCCCTTGATATTCGACATAATCCATGGCAAAAGGTATGCAATAAATGTGCTTATAAAGACAATAGACTGTCATTTTTTATTTCAGAGCCATTAGCTCACCTATTCAATAATAGCCATAAATGGGCTAGCTCTCTTTGTTTTACTAACATTTCTTTGTTTTTTAATGTTTAATTGATGTAATTAAGTGTATAAATGTTATTACAAGTTAATAATTTTATCAAATTTATTTTGTAACCTCCAATATTTGGATGGTATGATGAAATTGAGTGTTAGATGTCATTGCCATTTGCAAAACTCAAGAATTTATATAGTACAGTTTAGTGTGCTAGAATTCAATTGTAATGAGGCATAGGAACCAAGAATAATAGATGATAGTGAGAAACATACTATTAAGGGGGCACCTATTTTGATATATATTATATCCTAACCTGTAGCTGAAAAACGTTCTACAATAGTAGTTTGAGTTATTTGTTCTTTATGCTAATCCCAAATGTCACTTCCTCTCATAAATCTGAACTTTCAAAGTATTGTTTTTTATAAACAGATCTTTAACACTTTTTTCTCATAAAAATATGTAGATTCATGATAATATATTTGTATATTCAATAATTGTACTTCAGCTTATCTCCGAAGCTTTAAAATAAGTCTTATCTTTATATATATGTGCACGTATATGTATGCATATGTATTTATACACATGGATTTTTATATAAGTGCTTAACCTTTTTAAAAGAATTTAAAGTTATCTCTTGTTTTCAAATTATATGTCAAGGGCTAACGACTGGCATTGAGCTGGCTAGCTAAACTCTCATTCATAAAGAGAAAACACTGCCTTTAGAATCCTTTTCAACAGCCACTTTTTGAGCTATTATAGGATTTTCCTTCTTTATAAGAGTAGAACTATCTGCTATCTACTTAGAAACAGGACAGATTAATTCTTCAATGAAATTCAATTTCAACCATCATGTATGGTTTTTTTTTTTTGTCTTTGTTGTTTGGTTTTTGGTGGTGCTCAAGTCTTGTTCCTGGCTCTGCATTAAAGTATTACTTATGGTGAGGTGCAGGGAACCAGATGGCATGCTCGGGATCTAATCCCAATCAGCCTTGTGCAAGGAAAATACCCTGCATCCTGGACTATTTCTCTGGCCTCTCAACCATCATTTAAAGTAGAGCTTCTTAAATCTTTATCCACTCGAAATTCATTTTCACCCAAGAAATGAATGCAGCATGGGCAAGTACTGCCAGAAGCACTTCCAACTCATTACATTGTTGATCTTGGATTCATTTTTGGTCATTGAAAATTCAATACTTTTTCTGTTTCCAAATTTTTACAACTCCCACACTGTTTAATAACTCTACAATTTAAGAAGAGTTTAAAGAATCAAGGCTTTTATTTTATATATATATATATATATAATAAAATAAGAGATGTCTATGGGAAGAAACTAAGAAACATTTCTTTCTGTGTCATACTCATGTAATAGCACTGTAGCACTGTCCTCCCCTTGTTCATCGATTTGCTCGAGCAGGCCCAGTAACATTTCCATTATGAGACTTGTTGTTACTGTGTTTGGCATATCGAATACGTCACGGATAGCTTTCCAGGCTCTGCCGTGCAGGCAAGATACTCTCGGTAGCTTGCCGAGATCTCTGAGAGGGGCGGAGGAATAGAACTCAGGTAGGCCGGATCGGCCGCATGCATGGCAAACGCCTTATGGCTGTGCTATCACTCCATCCCACTCATATAATATTTCATAAAAATTAACTTTTTCTTATTTTTCCCAAGCCAGATACATTAAGGCTGAGTGTTATTAGCAGATTAAAGACTCTTACTCATTTAGATGGACTCCTCATTTCTGAAGAAGAAGCAACAGCAGCTGCAAAATTTATTTCTGGAACAAAGATTACTCAGGTTCGATTTTTACTGCTTAATATTCATTGTGCTACTCAAAACATTTAAATACATATCCTGTATGTTTACTTGATATTAAAGATATGTATCACTTAGCATGCTAATTAAATTATATATTAGTCTATATAAAATAATCATACCAATTGAATTTTTCTTTTGTGTAAATATAGCACTGTAGCACTGTCCTCCCGTTGTTCATCGACTTGCTCAAGCGGGCCCAGTAACATCTCCACTGTGAGACTTGTTGTTACTGTTTTTGGCATATCAAATACGTAAAGGTAGCTTGCCAGGCTTTGCTGTGCGGGTGGCATACTCTCGGTAGCTTGCTGGGCTCTTCGAGAGGGGTGGAGGAATCGAACCTGAGTTAGCCGTGTGCAAGCTGTGCTATCTCTCCATCTCTCTCTCTCTCTCTCTCTCTCTCTCTCTCTTCTCTCTCTCTCTCTCTCTTTCTCTCTGTGTGTTTGTGTGTTTGTGTGTGTGTGTAAATATAGCCTATTTAAATACCAACAGAGTTGTAAGACTTCATCATCTCTAAACACTATTCACATGTACCTCTAGCCTGTTTTTCCTAGTCAACTGGAACTCTCCAGAGTTCCTTTCAGAAGTCTTAAAATAAGCAACGTTTGTGGATAAGAAGCTTAGAGGCTTTGAGAAGACATTTGTGAATGATTTTCTTTTTTATTGAATCACCGTGGGATAAAGTTACAAAGCTTCCATGTTTGAGTTTCAGTCATACAATGATCGAACACCCCTCCCTCTACCAGTGCACATTTTCCACCACCAATGTCCCCAGTATCCCCATCCCCCGTTCCAGTCCTCCCCCTGCCTCTATGGCAGACAGTTTCCTTCATACTCTCTCTCTCTCTACTTTTGGGCATTGTGGTTTGCTCGAATTTTCCCAACATTATTCAAGCTTGCCTGCCAGGGGCAGATGCTAGATAATTTCATTTTCTGTTGCTTATTATGACTATTATGAAAGGTCAAGGTAAAGGTAAAGGCCCTCCCATTGTTCATCGATTTGCTCAAGTGGGCCCAGTAACGTCTACATTGGAGATTTTGTTGTTACTGTGTTTGGCATATCGAATACATCACAGGTGGCTTGCCAGGCTCTGCAGTGAGGGCGAGATACTCTCGGTAGTTTGCAGGGCTCTCCAAGAGGGGTGGAGGAATCGAACTCGGGTCGGCCATGTTGGCTGCGTGCAAGGCAAACGCCCTACCGCTGTGCTATCGCTCCAGCCCCATGTAGCTATAGCACAACAGTAGGACGTTTGCTTTGAGTGCAGACAACCCAGCCAAGCCTGGTTCGATTCCTCCACTCCTCTCAGAGATCCAGCAAGCTACCGAGAGTATCTTGCTGCATGGCAAAGCCTGGCAAGCTACCCGTGACGTATTCAATATGCCAAACATAGTAACAACAAGTCTCAAAATGAAAGGTCATGCAGCCACAAAAGTGTCCACATGCTTCTGAAATTCTAAAATTGTAAATGGTTGGGGTCCAGAGACATCTCTGTAGAGAGCTAATCCATTTTGAGATTCATTTGGGAGTCTCGGGATCAAGGTGATCTGCTGAGATGGCAACCAGAGGCAGAATGATGGCATGACAGCTCAGGACCCCAAGTGGGCAGGAAAATGGGGAGGAACTGCCTGTCTCCACTGCCACTATGTGGCCTGGAGTCTTAGCTCTGAAACCCGCATATGTGGGTTTTGCTTCTGGAAGCTCATGGTCACCGGGGTTTTATCTGGAGCGGGCAGAGAGGGTAAACCCACTCCATCTGAGGTGAGCCTATGGAATTGGCTCTGTACAGGGTCCAGAGAGATCTCCAGAGAGCTGCTGTCTTCCCAGATTCACTGCTATGTCTCTATGAATAATCTTAACATTGAAATTATCTATCGTCTGGCTGGCTGAAATGAAAACAAAATATTTTACCTGGGGGAAAGAAATGCCTTTATTATCCAGATTAATTACACCATGATTTGGACAAAATTATCAACATCTATTCTAAACTTCTCCACTCTAAATATCTAACGGTTGCTGCCAAAGTTTCCACTATAGATACAAGGAAAAAGTTCCTCACACTTTCTGCCTGTATGGTTGTGGCAGCCCAGATAGACTGGGGGAAATATAGAAGAAAAAATAATAAATTAAATAACTATTTACTTATTGTGTTATATATTAATTTCTAAAAATAATATTCAATTACTTATCTATTCAAAAATAGAAAATAAACTTTTTTGTTGATGATTCTTAAAGAATTGGGGATTTACCTTATAAAAACCCAAACTCTACCAAAATCCTTAAAGATAATGTGGAATTCTCAGAAAATTAGACAAATAAATCAACAGAAGAGAAAAAGCCTATGTTAAGTAACTCTTGTATATGCGAAAATTTGATAAATAACAGAGTTGCCTTAGAAGTAATGCCTGATTAGTTAAAGGTATTAAACAAGAAGTTTTAAAAGAAAAGACTATAGTTTTTAATAGTTGTATTTGGGAAGAGTTCATTACCAAGGAAAGGGGAAGAGTTTATTATACAGGAAACAAAGGCATGAACTATGAAAAACTGGATTCACTGTGAAAATGAATAATTTATTCTTCAAAGGAAAATACCACAAAGAAAGAAAAAAGGATAACTTTCTTACCAGGGAAAGAATTTTCAAAAGAACCTACAAAAACATCCTTTATATATCCAGAATAAATCACGGTCATGGTCACGGTCCTCCCGTTGTTCATGGATTTGCTGGAGCGGGTCTAGTAACATCTCCTTCATGACACTTGTTGTTACTGTGTTTGGCATATTGAATACGTCAAGGAGACTTGTTGTTACTGTGTTTGACATATTGAATACGTCACGGAGACTTGTTGTTACTGTGTTTGGCATATTGAATACGTCACGGGTAGCTTGCCAGGCTCTGCCGTGCAGGTGAGATACTCTGGGTAGCTTGCCGGGCTCTCCGAGAGGGGTGGAGGAATCGAACTCGGGTCGGCCATATTGGCTGCGTGCAGGGCAAATGCCCTACCCGCTGTGTTATCACGCCAGCCCTCCAGAATAAATTAGGAAAAAAAATACATCCAAAAGATTTAGACATTTACTGTTAATAGTAAAACCACTGTGATCTGCCAGTTCATAGAAACAATTGGCAAAAATCTGAAAACCTTCAGGTTTTAATGAAAATTTAGCAAAATGTTATAATTGATGCAAACCACTTTGGAAAAACATCTAGCATTTAGTAAAGCTATGAGCAAGAAAGTTGCATTTATTCCAAAGAAATTCTTGTGTTTGCCAACAGTCATGCACAAGACATTTATGACAATAGTGCATGTCATAGCAGCAGAACTCAGATCAATCCCAATATTCTCTGATAGAAAAATCAGTAAGGAAATATCATATAGCAATGCGGGATGAATGAACTACAGCTGCATCCAACAGCATCAATGAATATCATGTTTAGCAAAATAGAAAGCTATATAAAACTCACTTATTCAGTTTACACAAAATTAAAATATTTCAGTTGCGTGAAATTTTATGAATAAAAACACAGGCCTATAGATATAAAATTGGCGATCTGGTGATTGACTTGCTTGAGGAGAGTGATTGCTTCTGAGGGAAAGGAGCAGAAAGGACTGGAATGGGGCACGCAGCAAACTTCTAAGACAGCAGTAGTGTTCTATCTTGTCAGCTGGCCTTAGTAGTGATTAAATGGTTTGTATTAATCTTTTTGTGATGACATAGTTATCTTCTCATGAATATATAATTTTAAAAATATCAAGTTATAGAAAAGATTTTAAGGGTCCACAGCAATGGTATGCAGGTAGGGCATTTGCCTTGCATGCTGTAGACCGGGTTCAATCCCTGACATCCCATATGGTCCTCCAAGCCAGGAGTAATTCCTAAGTGCAGAACTAGGAGTAACCCCTGAGCATCTCCAAGTGTGAAAGCTAAAACAAAAAAACCCATTTTAAAACAAAATGCCATTTTAAAATCATTCTGTGACCACTATTCTAAGAAATAATATTGTTAGCTAAGTACACATGATTCTCTATTTGCTATTTTCTTTATTAATCATGTTTTTTATTATATTAGTTTTCTCTCATACAGCATTCTAGTACAAAAGAGGAAAAGCCCCGGACACTTAGTATATGGCCTGTTGCCAGAATTCTGACACAGATTTCAAAGACAGTACCACATTTACATATGCTTGCAAACTGGCACTTGAAGGTAAAGGTTTGTTTTACTAAATATAATATAAGAGCTTGATTTCAATGAATAATTGTTCAGCTTTTGTTTGTCATAAAGAGAACACAGATAGGTAAGAAGCAGAAAATTGGAAGTGACATTAAAATAAAATAGGGAGGTCAGGCTGTGGATTGTAATGTTACAGGAGCTAAGCCTTGTTGGCCATTACCACAGAATGAAAAGTTGGAATAAAGCTATACTACAAAGCCAGAGGGCAGATTCTAAAAACATGGCAATATAAACGTGTAAATTTTTAGAGCATCAAAAGCAGAGATAAAATTGAAAGATTGTGTGGGAAGGTGAAGGAATAAATCTTGATAAAGGTAAATCTTGGCACAGGCTAAGGAAACTGGTTGGAATACAGCCATGGAAAAGGAGGTTATTGGAGCAGCAACAAGCTTCTTGCTGCTAAAATTCTCTTGCCTAAATAGCATATGAGCTAAAAATAGGTTAACCCTTGAAAATGGAAGCGATTAGTCGCATTTTTATTACAGGGTATAGACAGATATTGACTGATGCAAGCACTGTGACAACCTTGGCTCCTTGGGGAATGAGACAGTGAAAATAACCCTTAAAATTAGTCCTACATTGGGCTGAAATACCCAGCCCCTCATGTCTCTTTATCTTTGAATGTGGACCAACCTGTGCAAGCCTGGGCCCGGGCAGGTAGCACTGTGCACCAAGGCAGTGTCCTGGAAGGGGCTGAGAGCAGAAGGCTTTTTCCCAGTAGCTGGGTCCTTTGTTGCAGTGGGAATCTCACTGGCACACTGTAGTATCCAGACAACCATGTAAGTCCCTCTTGCAGTTATAATCTGTCAAATTTTGGTTTTTGGTAAACTAAGAGCTTCTTGCTGTCCATGAGATACTGTCAATCAGTGATGTTTACTTTCCAATTTTAATGATTTCATTAAAATATAGGGTATTTTAGTTATCTTATTGTTGAATTTATTGGTAAGTTACGTGTAATGTGAATTATCCTACAGATAACTGCCTTAAATTTTGATGGGCAAAATCTCTTTGAAATCACAAATTTAGAAAGATTGGAAAATTTGAAATGGGCATCATTCAGTAATAATAATCTCACAAAAATGGAAGGCTTTGAATCTTGTATTAACTTGGAAGAGCTGACACTAGATGGAAATTGCATATCCAAGATAGAAGGTATGGTAATTGAGAGCTTAAACATATTATAATGTGAATGCCTAACTAACCAAAACAAAAATATTTAAAATGAGTAACATTGAGGATAGAATTTATGAATAGGAACATCTATAGAGAATTTCCAAGATTTGGGACAGAGAATTCTCAATACCTCTTAATGGAGTAGCCAGCTTCTCTGTATGATCCCAGTTAGGCCAACTTTTACCTCCCTGCCTTCTTTCTCCTTTCCTCTCCTTGGTGCCAATATTTGCCATCTATTATCAAATCTAGTGCTGCACAAATAAGCAATCATTAATATCTGTAGTGTTAAATGAATAAATGAATGCTTTCAAAAAAAGTTAAAGAAGCCTTATTCATTTTTAAAAATAATTAAAGTTAGGTTTGGAAATTTGATGACTTTAACAGAAATAGATTTTAACAGACTTTAACAGAAATAGAAATAAAACCTTAGCAACCTTGTCCGGAAAAAATAAAAGAGATTTTACCTCCTTACCCTCTTTCAAACTTCCTAGATTCTTTATGGGGACTTATGCTCATCAGAAACTAAAAGATAAAATATAAAAAGTGGAATATATTACTCTAAATAATTTTTACTCCTTTCCAACTGTATTAATTCTTCTTACCTTCATGTTATGCTTTGATCCTGGGAGTAAACTGAAAGAAACATTCTATGTATAGTTTACTAATAATATCCTCTTATTCTTCTCTCCACCTACACAAATGAGTAAATAATTCTTAGCAATAAAAACGGATGATCACAGTGTGTACCTTTTGATTGGAAAGGGGACTATGTGTAAGTGGGTATATGCCCACACAAATATACATCATTAAAAGCATAAATTATTCTTGAAAGTGCATTTTGATAACAGGATTATATTATATATTATATATTTGTTCGGGAAGGTAAGGACTGGAAATCCAACTGGGAATGAAACATCTCTATATCTTATGCACTTTTTGGATTGTGGAATTTTAATTTAGCATGTACTTTTACTACCTTTTCATATCATAAAATAAAATAATTTGATTCAAACAGTTAAACACTTAAAATTAGTTATATATATTTTTTATTTATTGGATTTGGGTCACATTCAGCGCTACTCAGGGTTACTCATGGCATTGCAGTCAGAAATTATTTCTGACAACTTGGGGGATGCTGGGAATCAAACCCAGGTTGACCAAGTGCAAGGCAAACACCCTACCTACTGTACTATCTCTCCAGTACCTAATTATATACCTTATTAACAACATATATTTTTAATAATTTATTGAATACTATTAGTTGTGCTTTGTATATAATTGACTCCTATTCTCCTTTATCCCCCTCCATAAAGCTATTGAAGGAAAGAATCCTCCAAACAGTAGTTTTTCTATATTTTTCAGATAGATACCCACAAAACTTTAACAGATTTCTCTTCTTTTCCCCTGGACATAGGTAGGTTTAGCATATATGTAAGGATTTTTGATTTTTTGCTTTTAGGATTTTATTTTAAGTTGCCCTAAACCTATATATTATACTTTTCATAAATATATCATTCTTAAACCAAGGATAAACAATGGTGATTAACAGTACAGACACTTTTTTTTTTGCTTTTATTTTTTGTTTTGGGGCCACATTCAGCAATGCTTAAGGGTTGCTCCTGGCTCTGCACTCAGAAATTACTTCTGGCGATGTTCAGAGAATCAAATGACCCGGTCAGCCGCATGCAAGGCAAACACCTCACCCACTGTACTATTACTCTGGCCCCAGTGCAGACTTTTTAAGGCCACTTGAATTTAGGAAAAGAGTAACTAGCATTAGATGGTCAAGTTATTTTTTAAAAATTTCAGCGCTGTCTGAATTTTCTCTTTAATTTGCTTGTTTTTCTAGGTCTTTCCAAGCTGACTAAATTAACGCGCCTAAGCATGAATAATAATCTCCTCACTGGTTTGGAAAAAAATATGTTTGATAACATGCTTCATCTTCATTCCCTTTCTCTTGAAAACAATAAAATTGCTTCACTGAGTGGTTTACAAAATGTTATTACTCTAACTGAATTATATGTAAGCAATAACTATATTGCTGTCAATCAGGAGATCTACAATTTAAAGGTGACTATCTGGGGTATTAATGTTGCATAATTTTTGTTTGCTTATTCAGGGAAATCTCTCAAGTGGTATTCAGTGGACCCAAGGCCTTTCCTGGAGATTTTCAGCCAACCAGGCTGGGGATGAGCCTAATGGGAGAGCCCAGTTAGGATGTGCTTCTCAGGCTCTGAATGCTAGAGACTATTCAGAGACACCCTAGTGGTGCTTAGGGGCCTCCAGGGCCACACCTGAAAGATGCTCCATGTTTGGTACTTTCAGGGTTTCACCAGGTGATGCTCAGGAGGTCATGTGATGCTGGGATCAAATCTGGTTCAGGCTCATGCTGATCCCTCTACTATCTTCCCATCCCCCGTTTTTGTGTTTTTTAAATATTTATTGTTTCTCTTTACTATGAAAATCGTTCATGTTCACTGTAAAGAATGTGGACAATATAGAAAATACCAAGAATAACAAAGTCTGGGGCCAGAGAGATCATACAAGGCTTAAGGCATTTGCCTTGAATGAACTCACCCCAGTTTGATTCCTGGCACTATATGTTTCCCTGGGAACTTCTGGCAGCTAACCCCAAACCCCCTAACAAACAAGGTTTGTTAAAATGTCACGGTCATGGTCCTCCTGTTATTCATCGATTTGCTCAAGCGGGCCCAGTAATGTCTCCATCGTGAGACTTGTTGTTGCTGTATTTGGCATATTGAATACGTCACGGGTAGCTTTCCAGGCTTTGCTGTGCAGGCGAGATACTCTCGGTAGCCTGCCGGAGCGGAGGAATCGAACCTGGCTCGGCCAAGCTGGCTGCGTGCAAGGCAAACACCCTACCGCTGTGCTATCGCTCCAGCCCATTGTTAAAATGTATTTGCATTTAATAAATATTTACATATAAACATATGTAAGTATAGCGTGTCTAAGCTGATAACCTCCTATGTTAATTTTAGCAAAGGGGGTGGCCCCTAAACAGTGCTAAAGGGCCCAGGAGCTATTACCAGTAATTCACTGTTAGCCACCTAACAGTGCCTGGACCCTGCAGGGTCACACCTGGCATTGCTTGGGGCCACCTGAGTTATACTCAGGGATGCCATGTAGGTTCAGGAATTGAACTGCATGCACATTCAAAGCATGCTTCTTAGATTCTGTGCCATCTCTTTGTTCTCTAAAAATAATTCTTAATACCAAAAAAAAATTTTTAAACCCAATCCTCATAATTCCTGACTAGTACCTTCTTCAGTCTTTCTAAAGATTCTCCAACCTATTTGGGGGATAAAATTCTTTCCCAGGGCAATTTTTTTTATTTCTCATTTACTTACTGCTTATTTATTTTCCCTTTAAGATTTCCTACTACTACTTCAAGAGACAGAAACATTTTTATTTCTTTTTAAAAGCAGAATTCTTTTCAATCCTGTTGTATGTATGTATGTATCTATCTATCTATCTCTCTCTATACACACACGTATATATACACACATTTAACTTATTAGGTCATTATCTCATAAACAAAGTGTACTTTTTAAAACTCAGTAGTGTTCCTTTCAAGTCTTCACTGCTGATAGACAATACACTTAGCACTTAGCACAAGCATTCTAAACAGTATTTTATCATATAATGGAAATCATTGAAATTTTGTACAAAATTGCACCTTAATCATCTGTAAATATAATTAGTGCACTGAAAGAGTTACTTGACAGCATTCAGATCACTGAAGTCACTGATTATCACCAGGAGTGGCCCTCAGATACCACCAGTCACTGCTTGTAGTCACCCCCACAAAAATGATTCTAGTAACTTGGAAATTATAGAGTAATTCAAATATGCAAGATATAATTAAACTATAGTGGATGATGGCTGGAACATAGTACAGCAGTTAAGAGTTCAGTTTCCAGTACCAAATGATTCCCAGAATAGTCAAGTGACAGAACAGGCAGAATACCCAGGTGCCACCCTGAAGGCCCCCAGATCGCTACCAGATAGGTGTGGCCCAGATAATTCCTGACTCTGTAAGGACCAACCAGCATTGCTTTCCCAGGACCTTGCATTGAACTGATACCCAGTTGGCACAGAGTTGGCTGCTGACTTGAGACCCCTCTGCCAAAGAAAACTGCTGCTGTCTGCTGTCCTCCCATTGTTCATCAATTTGCTCGAGCGGGCCCAGTAACGTCTCCATTGGAGACTTTGTTGTTACTGTGTTTGACATATCCAATACAACACGGGTAACTTGCCAGGCTCTGCTGTGCAGGCGAGATACTCTCGGTAGCTTGCCGGGCTCTCCGAGAGGAGTGGAGGAATCAAACTCGGGTCGGCCATGTTTGCAGCATGCAAGGCAAACGCCCTACTGCTGTGCTATCACTCCAGCCCAAAGAAAACTTCCAAAGGAAAAAAATCTTTACTAGAGTCATATGACTTTAATGTATTTGTTTTATTACCTAGACCTTATGCAACCTGGTCATTCTGGATATTTTTGGAAACGTTATTGTATGGAATCAAGAAAACTATCGGTTGTTTGTCATATTTCATCTAACAGAACTGAAAGCACTGGATGGAATGTCAATTGTGAGTTATTTTGTGATTCATAGCACTTGGTCCAAACTGCATATTCGCATATTATTTTAAGCAGTTTTATCACTAGTTGATACTAAAATTTTACGTTTCTTAAAATATAAAGTACATTTTACATTTGGATTTGGAAAGTTTCTTCTCCGGCTAATTTTTGAAGTGGCAGGGAAGAGGAAATTCTGCTTACATTTGACCCACTGGACTCAAGGCCTTAAACTAAATAAACAATACAGGTTTTTGTGTTTTGCTTTTTTTTTTATTTTGTTTGTTTCGGGGCCACACCCAGTGGTGCTCAGGGTTTATTCCTGGCCCTGCGCTCAGTTATCACTCCTAGTAGGATTCGAAGGACCCTATGGAGGACCAGGGATTGAACCCTCATCATCTGCATACATGGCAGGTGCCCTACCCACTGTACTATAGCTCCAACATCATAAGCAGCACAATTTTATGGGACAAGATAGAAATGACTTCTCTGGATCTCTGCTGTTTTCTTGGATCTAAAACAGTAATAAAGGTAAAGCAAAGATCAGAACATAGGACTGAATTTGAAAGAAATATTTGGAACAATATTTCAAAGCAGTATTTAAAGTGAGACAAAAACAAAGAAAATAAAAGTTTAGCCTTGATCAGATCCCCTACATTACATGGTCTCTAGAACGTTGTTAGGAGTGGCCCTCAAGCACCAACTGGGAGTAGCTCAAGAACTCTGCTAAAGGGACTGGAGCGATAGCACAGTGGGTAGGGCGTTTGCCTTGCATGTGGTTGACCCAGGTTTGATTCCCAGCATCCAATATGGTCCCCCAAGCACCTCCAGGAGTAATTCCTGAGTGCATGAGCTAGGAGTAACTCCTGTGCATCATCAGGTGTGACAAAAAAAAAAACCTCTGCTAAGAGTACCGCCTACCCCAACAACAACAACAAAGACATGGTGGTTCTACCTGCATTATTATCTCTCAACAAGAATTTGCAGAGTCAGTGGAAAGAGGTTACCAAGTAGTGGCAGATGGGTTGAAAGTAGGAAAGTAAGCAGACTAGATATGACATTATGAACAATGCTGGAACGTCTTGGGCATTTTGGTGGTGGCAGAGGTGCAGTAGCTTTTTGAAACCAAAATCATATAGTAATGCAATTGTAACCATGTTACCTCAGCTAAAAAATAAATAAAGGTGCATTTTCATATGAGTATCCTTTATTTCTTCCACCAAAAATCCACCAGAAAGGTAGAGACATTTCCTCAGGTAAACTCTCATGTTCCCATTGAGTTGCAAACACTTACTCTTGAAAGTGGAAGGTATAAGCAGACTTTCATGTTCCAGCTCCTCATTGTAGAAAGTCAGTGTCTTAATTACCCACTCAAATTTGTTATTATTCTTGAGAAGACTACTGCTTTGCCCTTGTTGGACTTACAATGTCAAATGGTTCCTTCTATGAAGAAACAATAGCCATCTGAATTGTTGCTCTAGCTTCTGTTCCATTCCTTCATAGCTCTTAGCATTTGCATTTACCATGGGGCAAGCAAAGCCTAGTTCACAAGTCACTATCTATTCTCATCAAGACTCATTTGTAGTCCCCTTAGGGCTAGCATAGCTGTTAGACTTGCCAGCTATGTTCAGGCCCTTCGCTCTTAGGGAAATCTGCCACATAGCCATCTGCAGTATCTGCTTCTTTTCCTATCAGATAGAGCAGTTCTTAATGGCATTTTGTGCTTTAGAGGGTACAAAAAGAATATGTCAGGATTCATTTAGACCCCCAAGGTCCATCTGTTTCATAGATCCGGCTAGCCACTTCAGTGAGCATATAGGGACAGCTACTTGTCAATTAGAATCACATTCCAATCCTGAAAAGGAGTTCTGATGAGCATCAATATGCCCTACATTAATTTAGTCTCCAAATTTCCGTAGACTCATATCCCATGTTGGCATCCTTTTAAACAGCCAGTTTTCCATTGCTTTACCAACTGCATCTGGCCCAACTAGGAACAGAGGATAATGGCTAAACATAAAATTCTTACCATAATTCAAGTAACATATGAAGGAACTCACTTTCTTTAGTCTAAAGGTCTTCTTTGTACCTTTAAGTGTCTTTGTTTTATATATAGTAGTAGGTGGAGGCTAGATGTACTTAGAAGAATAGAAAGAAATTAGTTCATTCTGTTTAGACTTGAAGTCAGAGAATGTCATGTAGTCATCAGTAAAAGGAAATCACTGAAGTGTTCTCCTTTACAGGAATCATCAGAAATCGAGTGTGCAAAAGATTTGTTTGGTGGCCGACTTACTTCTGACATGATTGCAGAACGACAAGGGCATTCAGACTTCTCTCAAATGCAGGAACTAAATTGGACTTCATCGTCCATCAGGTATAATCATTATTATAGAACTTTTATAATAATATGTACTTTATTATACAATAACTCTCTACTTCAGAATCTCACACTAACTTTCCCCTTAAAATGAAACTAATTTTTATAACACTTAATCACTTAATCACTTAATCCCCGTTATTCATCGATTTATTCGAGCGGGTGCCAGTAACGTCTCCATTCATCCCGGTTGCGTGCTAGCGTAGCCCAATGGTATCTGTTCGTTTTAGGAACATGTAGAGCCTCAAACCGATCATTTAGGGTCTTGACGAAGAAGTCTGACCATCTTATAGGTGGGCGTCCACGTGATCTTTTGATGTCTCGTGGAATCCAATCAGTAATGGCTCTAGTCCAGCGGTTGTCTGTAAACCTCATTACATGTCCAGCCCATCTGATTTTTGATGTCTTGGCAAATGAGACAGCGTCTCTGATTCTTGAGCGTTGACGAAGATCAGAACTCCGGATTCTATCTCTCATTTGAGTGAATCGTGATATTCCAAGCATAGTTCTTTCGATTCCTCTTTGAGAGACCCGAATAGTGTTCTCATCCTGTTTTCGTAGGGTCCAGGTCTCTGAGGCATATGTTAATGCAGGAAGAATAGTGGAATCAAAGAGATGTGCTCGTAGTTGGAGGTTCTTTGTCCTTTTAGTTATTTCTTCAATGCTCTTGAAGGCATTCCAAGCTGCTCTCTTCCTCCTGCGTAACTCAGGTGCCAGATCATTCATCATGTTGATTTCTCGACCTAAGTATATATAACTGTTGCATTCGGAGATGGTGGTTCCGTTGAGAGCGAATGGAGCGTCAGGAACAAGGCTGTTTCTCATAAACATTGTCTTCGTAAGATTCAGCTGTAGTCCGACCTTTCCACACTCACGGTCAAAGTCCGCAAGCATTTGTGCCGCTTGGCTGATGTTTGGTGTTATTAGAACGATGTCATCAGCAAAGCGGAGGTGGTGTAGTTGCCGACCATCTATCTTCACTCCCATGTTTTCCCATTCTAGTCGTCGCATGATGTTCTCGAGGGTGGCACTGAAGAGTTTTGGTGAAATGGTATCACCCTGCCGAACCCCTCTCTTGATATGGATGATTACTTCTTTGTAGAATGGTGAGATCTTGGTAGTGAATCCGCAATAGAGCTCATGAAGGATCCTGATGTATTGAGTTTGTACGCCCTGATTGGCTAGGGCTTCCATGACCGCTTCCGTCTCAACAGAATCAAAGGCCTTCTTTAAATCAATGAACGTTAGACAGAGCGGCATCTTGAACTCCCGAGATACCTCAATGAGCTTGGTTATTGTGTGGATATGGTCGATGGTACTGAATCCTTTTCGGAATCCAGCTTGTTCACATGGTTGTCCTTCATCTAGTGTTCTGCTAATTCTATTCAGGATGACTCGAGTGAATAGTTTGTAGATGACAGACAATAGGCAGATTGGGCGATAGTTGCCAATGTCGTGGATGTCTCCTTTCTTGTATAGTAGTACAGTCTTGCTGGTTTTCCATTGGGATGGAACCTTGCATTCAGACAGGTAGCGTGTGAAGAGTCGAGCTAATGTATTGATGAGTACTGATGGTAAGTTCTTCAGGTGTTCAGGTCTGATCTTGTCTGGGCCAGGCGCTTTTTGTTTCTTTACCGACGAGATGGCATGTTGGATTTCGGAAGGGAGAACATTGGGAACGACATATCCATCATGTGGTATGTGGTATGTGGGCAAGTGGATGTGGCTATTAAAGAGATCTGAGTAGAAGTCTTGAATAATCTTCTCCATTGCCCTTCTGGAAGATGTGATAGATCCATCATGATGTCGGAGGGCAGTCATCTTGGTTTTGTAGTTGGTGAAGGACAGGCGGGCATTACGAATGTTTTTCCCAGCTTCTGCTGCATCTACCAGTACTGCTGCTCTCCTGTTTTTGAGGTCATCCTTGATGGCTTTTCCGCACTGTTTTGCCAGTTCGGACGTTTGCTTGTGGTTGCCTGAGGCACGTGCCACGCCACGTTGGCGAATAAGTTCAAGAGTGTTCGAAGAAAGACGGTTTTTTGTGGTTATCTCTCTCTTGGCATTCCTTGCACAATCATGGAGGTGCTGAATCATTCGATCGTATTCCTCATCAATGTTGTCAATGACGGCATCTTCCCATGTTGCTGCAACAGAGCCAAAGAGTTCCCAGTTGGTGGTTGTTCTGGGAGTCTTCTTCTTAAACCTTGCATTCTTTTCTCCTCGTTCTGTGAGGTAGAATTTTGCACGAAGAAGACGGTGGTCTGATCCCGTTTGGAATTTTGGGACAACAGCAACATCGGTTAGGCAAAACCGCCGATTGAATATGATGTGGTCTATTTCATTGTGGAAACGTCCATCGGGAGACTCCCATGTCCAACGTTTAGATTCAGCCTTTTGGAATTGTGAGTTACCATGGAAGGTTTTGGTTGACATGATGAACTCAGACAGTCTGTCACCTTGTTCGTTCCATTCCAGGCCATGGGTTCCGATGTGGAGTTCATCGACTGATCTTCTTGGTCCTATCTTGGCATTAAAATCACCGACAATGATCTTGTAGAAGGTGTGATCTTCTTTATAGAATTTCTCCAGCTCAATGTAGAATTTCTCAGTTTCTTTTTCACCATAACTGGATGTTGGTGCGTAGACAACAAAGATAGAAACTGCCGGTAGTGAGCCACATTTATTCAAGTGTAATCGTCCGATTCGGGTTGTTAGGCATTCAAATGAATCAATGCTTGTGAAATGCTTGTGACTAAGTTTGTGTTGACAAGGATACCGACACCACCGACGCCTCTTTTATCACATGTTCCAAGGAACAGTTCTTCTCCAGTGTCGAAAACAGCATGATGGGATTGATGTCTTCTCGTTTCGGTCAGACCAATGATGTCGTACTTGATCTTTCGTGCTTGTACCATAAGGTCTTCAATGGATGCAGCAGATGCCAGCGTACGAGCATTAAAAGTACAGACAATCATTTTTGTTTTTCTGCGTTTTGGCAGCCCATGTCTGCCTTGGTGTTTTATCAGCTTCTCCTTCCATATCCTTCTCGACTCCTATACACACTATAATTTAAATTTCATTATTATATTTCTAAGACCTATTTTCTCTTTTATAACCAAACTTTTGAGATTAGAGCATGTCTACCAGGCTTACTCTTCACATGGTCTGTCAGTCCACTGCCATTTATTATTCTTTTATTCTGTTCTCTTCACAGGGAGATAGCTTTGGCATATTTTTTTTTATTTAAGATGATGTTCTTAACTTTATCCCAAACATTCTTCTCATTTGAATATTAAGTTGTTCTTTAGAAAGCATTTTAGAGACAATGATTATCTCCTTGGTGCCCAACCAAAAATTTAGGAATCATTCCTCAATATCTCTCTCTTTTTTTACTCTTTCTCTCTCTCCCTTTCTCACCACTCTCTCCCTCTCTTTCTTATTTTGGGGTTATATCTGGCAGTGCTCAGGGCTTACTCCTGGCTCTCTACTGAGGGGTCACTCCTAGGGATACCGAGGATCAAACCTGGATGGACTGTGTGCAAGTCAAGTGTCCTACCTACTGTACTATCTTTCCAGCTCAATTTCATTTTTGTCTTATCTTTTTAATCACCAAATTCTATAGTTTAGATATTAGATATTCCCCTTAGTTCTTTCCTTATTATCAGACTCAGTATCATTTGCCTAGCTTGGGAAATTAACAATATTGCAAATTTACGTGGGGTTTTATTTTTTGGTGTTGTGTCTTACAAGGTAAGTTTCCCTGCAGATTCTTCTATTATCCATACTGCCTACTAAGATGCAAGTTTTATCAGATCACTTTTCTTCTCAGCATTGTTAAGTGACTTTTTATTGCCTGCAGAATAATATTCAAAATCTTTTTATGGCATAGAAGACCCCTTACCTTAATTATCTGCTTATTTTCATCATTTATAATCTTTTTACTATCTCACAAATTCCTAAGGTCCAGAAATTTCTAAATATTATGGTATCTAAGTCTCATTCATGCATTGGTACTGCATGTTTCTGTCTTTCCTTACAACCCGTACCTCTGACTGTAACTTTAGAATTTATCAGACAACTGTGACGTGTCCATTTAAGATATTTCTCCCATGTCCCACAGCCAGAGAAACAGTATAAAAGATAAGGCATTTCCATGGATGTAGCTGACTTTGATTCAAATCCTCAGCACCACCATATGGCCCCCCATGCACTACTAGAAGTGACCCCTGAGCATAGAGGCAGGAGTAAGCCCTGAGTACTGCTTGGTATGACTCAACACTCCCTCTGGCCCAAGATTTTAAAAACACTTTTTCCCATGTGAAGTCAACCCTCACTTCCTCCTTTAAGTTCTTTCCCTCTAAAATGCCATTACAGTCTTTTTTTTTTTCTTGCTTTTTGGGTCACACCCAGCAATGCACAGGGGTTAGTGCTGGCTCAGGCACTCAGGAATTACTCCTGGCAGTTCTCGGATATGGGATGCTGGGAATGCTGGGAATCAAACCCGGGTCAGCCACGTGCAAGGCAAACGCCTTACCTGCTGTGCTATCGCTCCAACCCTGAGAACACTGTCTTTTCTTATTTGTTGCTGCCTTTACATATTATCTGCACTTGGAAACCACTAGCAAAAATGTGTCAAATAAATGAATAATAATGATTAAATGAGTAATAATAATGAAAAAAATAATAATGAGTGATGAATAATAACAAATAAAAGTAAATAAATGGTTTAGGGCATGTTAATTTAACTTCATGTTCTTCTCTGTTATAGTTCAGAGGAAGGTGAAATAATGAAAACTCTGTACCAGAAATTTAGCATTCTGTTTAATTACCAAAACATCCATATAAGCTAGAACATCATTCAATTTTTTTTTCTTTTTGGGTCACACCCAGAGATGCACAGGGGTTACTGCTGGATCATGTACTCAGGAATTAACTCCTGGAGGTACTCGGGGAACCATATGGGATGCTGGAAATCAAATCTGGGTCAGCTGCATGCAAGGCAAACGCCTACCCTCTATGCTATGGCTCTAGCCCCATACCATTCAGATTTTTAGGGAACTCAAGAACACAAAGTTTGAATAATTTTTCTCCTTCTCTTCCTTTCCCTAACTTCCTGGTATCTCAGTAATAACCTAGCTCACATATATACTCATCAACTTTATAACTGAAAATCTTATGAATTGTCATGTCAGCTTTCCATGATTTCAAGAACCTGTACATGAATTTCAAAAGAAATTGACAGAAATTTATTTTTTGAAGTTTCTATTAAAGTAGTATTATGTTTATTAACTCTTGTTGAAGATGTTAAACATGTCTTCTAAATAATTAAGTGTCATGACATATTGTTCCAAAAAATATGTATTCACTCAGTTATTGATCCACACGTTTTTACATTAAGTCAATTCTCTTGAAGATAATTTGTCAAATAAGACTTCTTTAAATGCCTTTGGGTTTGTACATGAAAAGTCTGTTTATTTTTCTAACCTATTAAAATTTTAATTATATTTTCTTTGTATAAATTCAGAACTGTGGATTTGATTCCAGTTGACCAATTTAGAAATGTGTGTAATGTGAATCTACAGAACAATAACCTCACTTCATTCAGTGGATTAATCTATCTTCCCAGGGTGAAGGTGAGTCACTCACAAATTTTCTTTTTTTTTCCAAGATTTTCAGTGCAATGGATAAAAGTATTTTGGGGAGTTGGGAGATGGTTCAAGGGACCGGAGCAGATGCTCTGTACTTGAGGGAGCTCCAAGTTCTTTCCCTGGCACCTGTGATCACCACACCGTCCCCAAGCACTTCTGGGAGTGCCCCTACCCCTCACTACTGGATGCCACCCAAAAACAAGTAAAAGTATTTTCATCTAACTAAGATATTATTCTGAATATTATAGTATAGGTAATAAGTATCTATTTTACGTAATATAATAAGTAATAAATCTTATAATTCTTATAAGTAATAAATCTTACTCAGGAGATAGGGTGAGATGCTGCCTTTATAGAATTTGGCGTGAATTGCAGTTGGAGAACTCAAGTTCCCCAAGCAACAACACTGGTTCCTGCCTTAAGTTTTTCCCTGGAAATTAACTCTTGTTGAAATATGGTAGTTTGAAGTACTATTGAAGGTATTGAAAAATTACCACACCCATTCCCTCCACCAGTGCTTCAAGACCCTTTACCATTACGGTCCCATCCCTTCCCTGCCACGCCCATCACCTCTTCAGTTCCATTAATTGTATGTAAGGGTTTGTTTGTATCAGAAAATGTCTAATCCCTTTCTTTCTTTATACTCCACATATGAGTGAGATCATTCAGTATTTATCTTTTACTTTCTACTTCACTTCCCATAGCATTATATCCTCCAATTTTTCCAAGTTACAGCAAACCTTAAAATTTTTATTGAGAATGCTACTAAGGCCCTTTAAACAGGGAAATGGTAATATCTCCAATTGAGGAGTTGGTTCACCAAAACAAATTATAGAAGTTGGTCAATGGACTGGAGCGATAGCACAGTGGTAGGGTATTGGCCTTGCACGCAGCCTACCCTACCGACCCAGGTTCAATTTCTCTGCCTCTCTCGGAGAGCCCGGCAAGCTACTGAGAGTATCTCGCCCGCACGGCAAAGCCTGGCAAGCTACCCATGATGTATTTGATATGCCAAACACAGAAACAAAAAGTCTCATAGTGAAGATGTTACTGGGCCCGGTCGAGCAAATTGATGAACAACGGGAGGACAGTGTCAGTGACAGTGAGTGGTCAATTAAAAAAAAATGAGCAGTTTTTGTAGGGTCTCCATTATTTTCTATTGAAATGTTGTAATTATATAATAAATTACAGCATATGATATAATTAACACATTCAAAATAAAATATACACAATTTAGAAGATAAAAATTCGAATTCATTATTTGGTGACCAGGAATGTAGCTCAGCACTAAAATCCATACTTTGCATGCATGAAAACTAGTTAGATCCCCAGTACTGCAAAAAAAATTATTTTCATATATATTTTTGATATGTTATGTTGTGTGTTTCAGTTTTTATCCATGGCTTTGTATTTCTATTAGCTTGTAGGTTATTGATGACCTTAAATCCAAGATAAATGCAGCTGTGTTGAAATTTTAATGTCAGACAACATATTCTTTCTACAGGTCTTATGCCTCAATTATAATCACATTGAATCAATTATACCTAGACTGAAGCCCCAAACTCATTTGACCAACAGACAACTACTCTACCAGAAAGTATCTTCAAGTGGTTATGGACTACAGACAGCTTCAAAAGTGACTAGGTATTATTCTCTTTCATATAATTATAAATTAAACCGGTCACAATAATTGTAAGATGATTTAACTTAAATTTATTAAGAATATGTGCCAAAAGTAAAGTTTACAAATAAAGCTATACTCAAAATATTCCTGGAATTTAAAATTTTTATAGTTTATAAAACTATTAATGATAGGGTTCATTAAAAAAAATTTCAGAACTACACTCTTTACCATATTCCTTTGTTATTACTTTTTTTCCCTCTACATTTTTATCCATATTATAAAAATAGAAAAAGAGGAGGAAAAAAAACCCATGTATACTTAATAACCTCAGATTCTTTGGTTGCAGAGAAAGAGGATTTGGTGCTCAGAGGCTGTTGGGGAGCTTTCTCCTAGTGGTACTCAGGGGACCATGTACTTAGGATTGATTGAACCCAGGCCTGCAATTTGCAAAGCATATGTATAACCACTTGGAACTATTTCCTATCCCCAGATTTCTTTTTCTTTTTATCTGAGATAGTTCATATTCCATAACACCTCGCCCTCAGTTTATTCTTCTGAGTATTTTAGTATATTAACAAAACTGTGTAACCATTACCACCATCTAATTCCAGAACGTTTTCATTACCCTACAAAACAGCACTGTATGTGGTAGCAAAAATTGAAGTTCCTCTTTTTCAGGGGAAGAGAAGTGAATGAGAGGGAGAGGAGGTTGGGCCGTATCAGGCACTGCTCAAAGCTATTTCTGCCTCTTTTAGTGATCCCTGGCAGTGTCCAGGGGACCATATGCAGTGCCAAGAATAAACCAGAATTGGCCACTTGCAAGGCAGGTGCTTTAGCCCTTTCATGGTCTCTCTGGTCCTGACTTAATTTTTTTAAACCTTTCTTTTGTTTTTGTTGTTATACAGGATACTTCATTTTATTGTTTACCACTTTATTGTGCTTTGCAGATATTGTACTTTTTACAAATTGAAAAATTGTGACAACTTCCCATTGTGCAGATCTGTCAGTGCCATTATGGCTGCATGCTCTCACTTTGTATGTCTGTTTGACATTTTGATAATTCTCACAATATTTCTACTTTTTGTTATTATATCCATTATGTGGATTTGTGATCAGTGATCTTTGATTTTTTTATTGGAATTATTTTAGAGTACCATAAAATATGTCAATATAATATTGAGAACTGTGTGTATGTTCTGACTATTCCACCAACCATTATTCCCAATTCATCTTTCCTAGAGTCTCCTTATTCCCTACAACACAACATTTCCAAAGTTAGGCCAGCTAATGACCCCTCAATGAGCTCTTAATTGTCCGAGTGGGAAAAAAAGAGTTAAATATATCTGTTTAAATCAAAAGCTAGGGAAAAAACTTTGAAGTATTGAAAGCTAGGCCTTTTTCTCTGAACAATCAAGTTGTGTCTGCAATGGAAAAGTTCTGAAAAGAAATGGCAAGAAAGTGAAACAACCATATTGCTGATGGAGAGAAAGAGCATTTTTCTAAAACAAAGTATAATCCAGAACAAGGCCCTTAAGTCTGAGGAGGCTGAGGTATGTGAGGAAGGTGCAAAGAAACGTTTGAAGCAAGCAGTTGTTTCATGAGATATAAGGAAGGAAGATATCTTCTAATGTAGACATCAAAGTGAGACACCAAGTGCTGATGTAAAATATATAGTGAGTTATCTAGAAGATCTGGCTTATCAATTGATGAAGGTTGCTACCTTAAACAATAGTTTTTCCTCCCTGCCCACATACAAAGCATGAACTCAATGCTTTTAACCATCTCTCCTACACCAAACTTTCAATGTAGACAAAACAATCAAAAATTGGAAGATGCCACTTACAGCTTTCTATAAAGAAATCTGTACTTAGCTTCAGCACTTCAAAGGACACATTCTCTCTCAATAAAGGGTAATACAACTTTAAGTGGATGCTAATGCCCATTTATCATTGAAAGATTTGTATTGTCCTTAAAATTATGCTAAAACTTTGTATGCTCTATAGAAAATGGAAAACAAAGCCTTTAAGTATGTATGTGTGCAACATAGTATTAATATCCTAAGCCTGCCAATGAGAACTACTACTTATAAAGATTCTAAATACCACTTCTATTGATAATGTTCATTCATTATTACCCAAGATGTCTAATGGAATTTTTCAAGATAATCAATGCTGTTTTCATGCCTGCTCACACAACATCAGTTCTGCAGTCCAAGGATCAAGAAGTGATTTCTACTTTTATATGCCATTATTGAAGAGAAATACTTTTTGTGAGACTATAGATGCCATAGATAGTAATTCTGCTAGTGGTTATGGGGAAAATCCATTGAAAATCCTCTGGGATGGATTCACCATTCTAAATGCCATCAAAAGTATCTGTGATTTATGGGAAGAGATCACAGTATCAAGAGATGTTTGGAAAAAGTTTATTACAACTCATAGATTCCTTTGGAGGATTTTTGACTGCAAAAGAGAAAGTAAATGTATTCTTTATATTGAAGACTATTAATATTCAATTTACAATCTTATTAAGCTATCTCCCTATCCCTACTACACATATTGTTTTGTGGATTTCTTGGGATATTTTAACTACAAGATCATATTATTTGCAAATGCATTTTTTATTCTTTTGTAATCTGGATATTAGTTACTTTTTTCCAGATTACAGTTTATTTTAATTTACTCTTTGTATTTCTTTATTCTTTACCATATAAAAAGTATTTTTATGTAAGATATAAAGAGACTATATAATATTTATAAATATGATTTGTTCATAAATCCATATTTTTATTAACTTCAATTATAGTAAGTACATGACAGTATTTATGAAAACAGTTTATTTGAAATTACATTTTTACCCTGAAATTTACCTGTTTATTTCAGAGATACAGTGAACAGTGAAAATTTGCCTACAATAATGCACAGTTTAGAAGTTCTTCATTTGGGTTACAATGGAATTTGTAATTTACTTCAACTCCAACTTAACAGACTAAGAAATTTAAAATTTCTATTTCTACAAGGTGAGTAGCAGTATTCGATATGCCAGACACAGTAACAGTTAATGTGTAAGTCTCTATTATTAAAAATAAATTTGATTATCACTCTTCAATATACAAAATAACTTTTATTATTAAAAAAATTAATTTGAGGGTCTGAAGAGACAGTACAGCAGGTAGGGCTCTTGACTTGGACGCGGCTGACCCAGGTTTGATCTCTGGCATTCTGTATGGTCTCCCAAGCACCACTAGAAGTAATTCCTGAAAGCAGAGTCAGGAATAAGCCTTGAGCATTGCCAGGTATGGCCACAAAACCAAAATAAATAATTTATCACTCTTTTTAGACAAAACATCAACTTTTACTTAAAACAGATTAAGAAACATAATAACCACAGATGGTTTTCATATAAAGTAATTATATTCTAGGCCTTTAGAATATTGCAAAGTACAATAATAATAATACTATTAGAGTTCCTGGAAAATGCACTAGTCTAGGGTATTATACATCTAAATTATTTTATATCATGGTTAATTGAAAATCAACTAAAAGCAACCAGCAATTAATTCACAAGTACTTATTGACCCGAAATTGTGTAAAGTATTATAAAAAATATAGAAATATTATGGGTTGGAGCAATAGCACAGTGGGGAGGGCGTTTGCCTTGCATGTGGCCGACCCGGGTTTGATTCCTCCATCCCTCTCGGAGAGCCCAGCAAGCCACTGAGAGTATCCCGCCCTCACAGCAGAGCCTGGCAACCTCCCCATGGCATATTCGATATGCCAAAAACAGTAACAACAAGTCTCACAATGGAGGTGTTACCAGTGCCTGCTAGAGCAAATCGATGAACAACAGGAGGACAGTGCTACTGTGCTATAGAAATACTATATTGTTAGATTATCTAAGATTAATATTCTTGCTCTAAATTAGCTTAAAATCTACCTATGAAAATATTGAAAAATGATAAATTAAATTCTGATTACGTATTACTTAAGTGGAAGAGAAGTTTAGCAAAAGAAAAAAATGAACATTAACATCTTTTTGTATGCTCTAAAAGATAGAAAGTGAGCATGACCCATGATGGATAATGATATTTTACAGTTAAATTAAGTCAGAATTGTAAATTCTTAGAAAAGTGGCATGATGGGGCTGGAGTAATAGCACAGCGGGTAGGGTGTTTGTCTTGCACGCGGCCAACCCGGGTTCGATTCCCAGCATCCCATATGGTCCCCTGAGCACTGCCAGGTGTAATTCCTGAGTGCAGAGCAAGGAGTAACCCCTGTGCATCGCCGGGTGTAACCCAAAAAAGCAAAAAAAAAAGTGGCATGAGAAAAAAATAAGGCTTAAAACAATAATATTTTGGTGATGTAGGGGAAATGTTGGGAGAGTCATAGGCAAGATGTGTAGAAAGATATTTGTATCATTGATCTGAGCACGGTAATTTTATATTTTAAAAGACAAGTATTTTAAAACATTTTAAACTTCTTAGCACCCATTTGCTAATATGTTTATGTTTAAATATATTTTAAACTTCTTAGCACCCATGTTTACTTATGAGTTGGATCAAGAACGTGGACACTGCCTTAAAAGAACAAGAAATTGAGTACAACAGTAACAGATCTTTTAAACAATACATTGGCCTGCAGAAGCAGCAAAATGCTTGGAATGTCTGTTAAAATCTAATAATATGAAAAGGGCATGTGTTCATTTGCTACAGCTAGCAGTGGAACAATCTCACACAGGAAGTGAGGCAGTTTGTTCTTAACAACAACAGCTGCCATTTATGGAGTCACTGGACATGGTATTGACCTACATGGATAATCTCATTCAGCACTCATAGTAACCCAACATGCCAAGTAGTTTTATATGTGTCTTACAAAAGAATAACTAAAATCTTTTGCCTAATTATATTCTAGTGACTGGTTGTGCCAAGGCAAATAGTTTGGTACAGAGACACAACTCTGCCCTCAAAGCATGTAAAAAAAAAAAAAAACAAAGAAAAAACAGCATGAGTGACATAATAAGAACCTGGACTAGAGTGAGGGTTTGGGAAGGGTAAGAGGTGAGTTCAGAATAAACTGTAAATTAAATAGGAAGGGAGGGAGGGAGGGGGGAGGGAAGGAAGAAAGGAGGGAGGGCAAAAAGCAAGGAAAGGGCTTGTTTTCTCTCAGATCTAGCCCATTGAAGTTCAAAATCAGACTTGGTCCTTGGCTTGTAGATGGCCTCTGTATCTTCACATGGTGTTTCCTTTGTATTTGTCTGTAGAATTGCCTTTTTAAATAAGAATACCAGGTTTGGGGAATGGAGAGAGAGGGAGGGTAGGGCATTTGCTTTGCCTGAGGTCAACCAGGGTTCAGTCCAAGGCACCCCATATAGTCCCCTAGCCAGTGAGAAGCGATCCTTGAGTGCAGAGCCAGGAATAAGGGCAGAGCATGATTGGGTGTGGCTTCCTCCCCTCAAAATAAGAATGCCAGTATTGTTAGAGCCTACTCCAAGGACCTCATTTTACTTTAGCCACTTATTTAGAAATCCTAACCCCAAAAAGAATCACATTCGGAGGTAACAGGGGTTAGAACTTCAGCATATGAATTTGGAGGTATACAATTCAGCCTTTAACAAACAAGAATAGCTATTAAGTGAAATACATAATGATATAACAGAAGGAACATTAAGCTTAAAATATAAAGGAAAAGTTAGGGGTGGTCTGATGTTACCTCTTTTAACTCTAATCAAATCATAATAATTAAGAAAATTTTTCTGATTTGATTTTCTGCTAATAGAAAAATTGTATTTTCCATGTCTTAGTTTTGGACTCTACATATATAAAGACATTTTTTTTTCAACTCAAGAGCCCTAATACAGTTAATGCTTAGTGGCTATCATTTGCTGTAATAGAGAAAAATCAAAGAGTATAAGGAAAAGATTAAATATTTAAACAATCTAATGAATTTTTATTTAATAGTATGATAAAACATTCTCAGAAATAAGTATAGAATAATTAAAGTGTATTCTTATAATTTAACAATAAGCTGTCCAAACCCTGTTCTCCCATTGTTCATCAATTTGCTCCAGCGGGCCCAGTAACATCTCCATTTTGAGACTTGTTGTTACTGTGTTTGGCATATCCAATATGTCACGGGTAGCTTGCCAGGCTTTGCTGTGCGGGCGAGATGCTCTCGGTAGCTTGCCGGACTCTCCGAGAGGGGCGGAGGAATCGAACCGAGCTTGGCCGGGCTGGCTGCGCACAAGGCAAACGCCCTACCAACAATAAGGTATTTTAAAAATTATTAGACATACTCATTAAAATAGGATGCATATCATTTTTATTTTGTTTTGCTGGTGGTGCTCAGGGGCTACACCTGGCTCTGTGTCGGTGGTAGTGGTAGTGTTGGGAGTGCTTGAGGGACCATGCAGTGCCAGGGATTGAACCCTGGAGTCCTTCAAGCAAACAGTATGTTCGACGTGTTAAGCTATCCCCACCCCAGGAAGCATACCTTTGAAAATACTTTTATAAATTTATTTTTAATAACAACTATTTTAGTACTTAATAACTAGTCAAACAGATTAAGTCAATTTGGTACTTTAGGTGCCACACATCTTAAACTTAAAGGAGAAATTTTCGCCTATTATTTGATGATGATTCATCAAATATATTTGAATCCTTTAAAAGAGAAGAAGTCTACTTTCTATAAACTTAATTTCCATTTATCTTTGGTAATTTGGGGGCACTTAATAATTTAATTAAAATATTAAATATTGGATAAAGTTTTATTCAGTAAGTTTGAACTACTTGACATATCATGACATCCTTTTATTCAGGGAATGAAATCAGTCAAGTTGAAGGACTTGACAACTTAGTACAACTTCAGGAATTGGTAGTGGATCATAATCGCATCAAAGCATTTAATGACAGTGCCTTTGCCAAGCCAAGCTCTCTGTTGTCACTTCACCTAGAAGAAAATAGACTACGGGAGCTAAACAGATTGCAACCTTTGGTAAAACTAGAGAAGCTTTTCCTAGGATATAATAAAATACAGGTAATATTATTTTGATTTTTATTATGAAATTTACAAGTCTTTGTTCCTCTAAATATGAAAGTTTCAAACACATCACTAAAATATAGCAAGTTATACTTCACAATTATTATATACCATGTAAATATAAAAATGCCTATTGTACTTCTAGACTTATAAAGTTAACCTGACCTACATATATCTGCACTTTAAACTTAGATCTAAAGCTCACAGTTTAGTTTTGTTCTCAAGCTCTCCTTAGCAGTCCTCTCTGATACCATCTATTCTCAGTTGCTCTTGGTCCAAGCTGTTCTATATCTCAATCCCATACCTAGCATTAGTACTTGGTCTATCTGATATTTCAATCCACTCCAAAAAATGGACTTTGCACAAGTTTCAATATACCATCTTCTTCAATTCAAGGATTTTTTTCAAGGACCCTAGTTTGATTTTACCTGATCTGAATTCAACAAGTTTCTCTTAGTTCTTTGCCCCAAAGAAGTCTGCCTATCAGATTGTCTCCAGAGTAATGTGTAGAATGAATTTTATATAAATATATATGTTTATATATGTTTGTGCGTGCATATGTATAACCTCATACAGCCTTAACATGGCTCTCAATGTTTTTTGTGATGGTCTTCCAGCCCATTCTTTCACAAGTTTTACTACTACTTCTTATATTTCTAAAACAACTTTAAAAACAAACAGACCTGTGGAGTGTTTCCCAAGGACTCAATCTTGTCCACATTTCTATCCATATTTCACATATGTGTTTTACATAGTACTTCCACATACTATACTTCAAGAAAACTTTTGTAGTGTAATATAAAAGTTTATATAAGGCTGGAAGGAAATAATGAGCAAGCCCTTTTCTACCTGGCAACTAAAAAATACGCATAGCAAGAAAAATGGCATATAACTAATTTATCTAGGTTCAGACAACGTTTATCTAAGAAAAGCCTGTCAATCTAGCAATAATTCCTCCCAAATTTATTCTGGATTTCAGAAATCCAGAAGTAATCTAGATTAGAACAATTTTAATTCATGGGAATTATTCCAGCTCAAATTATTGTGAGATCAGATCTTATCTGGTTATCAAGCTTTATTAGTTACCAATAATTTGTTGCCAGTTGTATTAGTTGCCAATAATTTCAATAATATGCAGGGACTGAGGCATTCTAGTGATTTCTCAGTTTCTTCCATGTCTCACACACTTTTTCTAGCTTAGGATAAAATATGAGCAGTCCAAGTAAAGTTTTGTGGGGGTAATTATGCAAGAATGTTTCACTAATGAAATATGTCTATTTTATTCCTAAGCTTGTATTATATACAATAGCACTGTCCTCCCTTTGTTCATCGATTTGCTCCAGCGGGCCCAGTAACATCTCCATTGTGAGATTTTGTTGTTACTGTGTTTGGCATATCGAATATGTCAAGGATAGCTTGCCAGGCTTTGCCGTGCGAGCAAGATACTCTCGGTAGCTTGCCCGGCTCTCCAAAAAGGGCAGAGGAATACTGATTTTTTTTTTATCTATGCCTGGTAAATAGATAGTATATTTACAATAAGCCACATAATCAAGGGAGATCCTGCTAACAGCATCTCATAGATAAGGGCATTCTTATCTATGAGACATGAAGAGTATCATGTATGCAAAATGAGTCAGAAAGAGAGAGACAGATATAGAAGGACTGCCACTCATTTGTGGAGTATAAAATAACATAACAAGAGACCAACACCCAAGAACATAGATAGAAGGGTCAGGGACTATTGCTCCATAGTTGGAAGCCTACCTCATGAGCGGGCGGGATGAGGACAGCTGGAATAGAGAAGGGATCACTAAGAAAATGATGGTTGGAGGAATTGGTCAGGATGGGAGATGTGTGCTGAAAGTAGAAAAAGGACCAAAAATGATAGCCTCTTAGTATCTGTATTGCAAACCATAATGCCCAAAAGTAGAGACAGAGTATGTGAACTATTGTCTGACATGGATGCAGTGGGAGGGTGGGAAATGTGGGGGTATACTGGGGATATTGGTGGTGGGGAATGTGCACTGGTGGAGGGATGGGTGTTTGATCATTGTGTGATTATAACTCAAACATGAAAGCTTGTAACTGTATCTCACTGTGAATCAATAAAATTTAAAAAAAGAAAATATCTATTTGGCATAACACTTTGTTACCAGCACATTTACAAGGAGATTATGCCAGGTAACCTACTTTCCCCAAGGAATGTTCTCTTCTATCTTTTATCTCTAACCCCAATTGAAAGAAAGGAATAGATGGGAAGCAACTTCTTCCCTATAACTTAAAGAGAATAAGCTTATACAAGTTTGTTTTCAAATTTTAATTTAGCTAAAGAATAACTTGTATGATAAATGATGAGAAGCATTAATATAAAATCCATTTATTTCTACCCTTAAATTTGTACTTTTTATTTAATTTGGATGGACCATTTAAATATAAAACTTACTGTAACCATTAATATTATACTACCTTAATATGACCATAATTTTAGTTAGGAAAAATAAACTCAAAGCAATAAGAAGGTTAATTTAGAGACTGGTTATTTATGCTAAAACATTATATTCCTCAAAATTATTAACTTAATCCAAATATTTTTGAAAAAGGGACCTCTCTAGATTCATACCAACATGAATAGATTGACACCAGTATTAATTTCCACAATTGGGCAAACAAATTGTAACCTTGGGTTACTAATAACCTAGAAGCTAGAAGGACAAAACAAAGTTAGCAAAACAATAATTGAGTACCTGCAGTACCTTATGGACTTACTTTAAAATCTTCCATAAATTACTTGTCCCTGATGTCAAATATCATGTTTTTCACCTGGCCATTATGATCACTAGAATATTTGGAAAATTCTTCCCTATAGACTTTTGCAGAAAGATTAACAGAAGTATGACTGAAAGATAAATGTTATGACTTTTACATATTTTATGTTTGGGGTGGCACTTGACAATGCTCAAGGCTTACTCCTGACTCTGTCCTTAGCGATCATTCCTGGCAGTGCCCAGGGCAGCATATGCAGTGCCAGGATTGGCAAACCTAGATGGGCTACATGCAAAGCTAAGCACCTTCCCTGCTATAAAAATGAGTTATTTAATTCAAGCTCATTTCAGAATATTAAGCCAAGAGTTAAATGAAATCTTAGTTACATTTTATTGTTTTCAATTAACCTTTCTTTGAATACTTTAGGTCTAATTTATTCACTTTTGAATAGGATATAGCAGAACTGGAAAAACTCGATGCTATCCCTTCTCTCAAAGAGCTTACAGTTTGTGGCAATCCAGTGAGTATATTACTTATATAACTTATTTAGTTTAGTTTTGCTTTAATTTATTTTAATACAGTGTGATAAAGGATTTAAGTTTGTTTCCATTTTTTAAAAAAATTATTTATTTTAATTGAACCACAGTGAGATACACAGTTAGAAAGTTCTTCGTGATTTTGTTTCAGTCATATAATGTTTCAACATCTGTCCTTCCACCAGTGTACAATTTCCTCCACCAGTTTCTCTCCCCCACTCCACCCCACGCCCATCTCGATAGCAGGCACTTTCTCTCTCTCTCTTTCTCTATCTCTCTTTCTCTCTCTTTCTCTATCTCTCTTTCTCTTTCTCTCTCTCTCCACCCCCCCTTTGGGGAATTATGGATTATGGTCTGCAATACAGATGCTGAAAGTTATCATGAGTTATCATGTATATGCATTTACCTACTTTCAACACTCAATTCTTATCCAGAGTGATCATTTACAATAACTATTGTCATAATGGTCCCTTCTCTATCCTAATTGCCCTTTGCCACATACATACTTGTGGCAAGCTTCCAACAATTAATTTTGTTTCTTGATGCATTAATTTTGTTTTACAGATGTATTAATTTTGTTTTCAGATGCATAGTTACACAATAATGTTTGTAATATTTTTCATAACGAATGGACTTTGAATTTGGGCTGATCAGTAGTATTTGTATAAATAAATGAGATAAAATAGTCTTATCTGTTCATTGCAATTTGCACTAACAGACTCTAGTGTTCAGTCAATCTTAAACTACTTTGTCATGCTGCATAATTTCCTGAATTTAATTTGCTAATATTTTGGTGAAGGATTTTTTTATGAAATAAGTAAAAAGAGTCTTGTATTTTATCTTCTAGTACTATTCTTTTCAAATTCATCAAGTTTTTTCTTACCTCATAAAATGGGAAACTCTCCCTCTCTTTATAGACTATGGGTTAGTGTACATAAAAAACTAATGTGTTTCTTGAGAAATAATTAAACCTTTCTCTCTATATCCACTATTAACTGTTTTCTCCATTTACATACCTAAATTTGTTGATTTTTGCTTCATTTCTCATTATATTTTACCAAAGTTTGACCACTGTATTTTCATATTTTGGTTTAATTACATATATTATTTGTTAATTTATTAATTTCCAAGTTTAATTACTTCCTTTATTGTTCTGGGATTTGATGAAATTTTAGAAAAGCTTTTATAAAGCAATTTTTAGTAGCATCCTAAAATTTTTGATTCATAGTCTTTTTTCCTGTAACTTATTTGGAAAATCTACTTTTCAAAAGATTTTTTCATAAACTCATAAATTATTAAAGTGTGCATCTGTTCGTTGTGTGTGAAGCCCATAAAGTGTTTTTAGTTATCTCTTTGTCATTTACTTCTGTTGTTATACTTGACTCAGAGGAGAGGGCCCATTAATTTATACTTTGATTTATGAAACTGGCTTTGTGACCTGAGATGTTTCCCTTTTTCAAAAAAAAAAAACTCAATTGTATGTTTTAGAAAGTAATTTTCTATTGGATAAGTGTATAAGTACCTTTTAGAAGATGTATTATTTTCATTCTCTTTTGATGATGCTCTCTGTTGGTCTTATTCTATTTGTTTATTTGGGGGTCCACGCCCGAGGTTGCTCAGGGAGCACTCCTGGCTGTGCTTGGGGAACTATCTGTGGTGCCAAGAATTGAACCAGGGTCATGCTCATAACCACATGCTAGGCAAATGCCTCTCTCTCCTGCCCCCATTCTTTATTTTTTGCTATTAAAAAGAGTGTTGTTTTTTTTTCTACATTGTCAGTCCCCAAGATCACACCACGTTCATAGATTTCCTGGAAGAACTCACTCAAAGAATTGGCGTATAGTTGCACACATGGGTAAGATTTATTCTAGTGACATGGTGAGGGTGCACAGCCAGTTAAGGATGGAAAAATAATACAGGCAGTGTCATGAGGAATCCATATGTGAACTTTCTTATGTTCTTTTTCTTCACAGAAGGGTCGCAGCATGTGCATTCTTAATATAGCAACAAAAATATTTCTAAAGGGAGCTCCATTAGACTTTAGCATTCAAAAATTTGTGGGGTGAGGACAGATCGCATAGGCACCTTATGCCTATCACATTTGCATACTCCGGGGGGTGGTGAAGCAGATTCATTAAATCACATTATTTGTATAAGTAACCTAGTTATAGTGAACTACCCCTATCTCTCAAGGAATAGTCAGAAGGTTTCCAAAATCCAAGTACTAAACACTAGTCAAGCATAATTCTTGCAAGTAGATCCACCGTGTCAGTTCCTTGTACACACCTTATCATATATATGAATATTTATATAGTAGATTAATACTATGAGAGATGAATCATACAGTTGAATAATTTTATATCAAATTGGATAGTGATTATGGAGAAACTATGTTTCAAATTGGTTACATATATATGAACTTTAATCAGTCTATTCATGAGTTAAAGTTGTCTACAATTAAGTGTACATAAAACATTTTTTAAAAATAAGGTTTCAGAGAGATAGTACAGGGTTAAGGGACTTGCATTGCATGCAGCCAAACTCTCCGTGATATATAACACAACATGGTCCCCTAAATATTGAGGAAGTGGCACCTGAGCACAGAGCTAAAAGTAGCCCCAGAGCACTCTCAGATATAACCCCAAAACACCCTTCAAAGAAAGAAATAAACCTCTAAATAGTAGCCTTGGCTTTAAAAAAGACTCTTCATTAAATATAGCAAAGAATTGAGAAATTATTCAAGAAGGGATCTTATAGATACTATAATACTATTAATTAAGTACTATAAATTAGCTATGTCATTTTTTGTTGCCTAGGCTAAATTCCTTCCATGTGAAGGTTGATCATTGAAATCAGCTATTTTAAGAATTAACTTTCTGTATTTAACTTTATCCAGATTTGTAGAAAAATAGTCCATCGCCACACGATCATATTTCGACTACCCAATTTGCAGCTGTTAGATGGAATTCCTGTTAATTCAGATGATAGAACAAAGGCTGAATTTCACTTCTCTGAAATCCAAGCAAAGAAAAATTTGGTAATAATTTTATTATTTATGTTTTCCATCTGAAATATACAAACTTAGTAAGTATATATTTTATGTACTTAAACCTGGGATATAGGTTTTTCAGTATCTTTTTTAGTATCTATTTAGTAATTGCTGTCAGAGACAATTTGATTTGGTGAATAGAAAGTACAGTCAGGGAAATCATATGAAATCATTTGAAATCTGTGTGTCTCTTGTTCAATGTGTTAGATAATGCTAGAAGCTTAAAAAACATAGCTTATCACTTTTGTAACTAGAAACTACCAATAGAGCTCTTTCCAATTGCAAATACGAAAGGAAATAGGAATTTTGACCTCAACTCTCTGGTCTATGTAGTGTTTATAACAAGGAAGATGTGTGCCTTCTTCTTATATGTTGGCAAAATAATTGGACATTTGCTCCATGAACTTTACAAAGTTATTTGACAATTAATTCTATGAACCAGTTTAGAAGGAAAGGAAGCACAAAAACAGCATTAAATTCTGATGTTTATAACTCAGATACTGCATGAATATCCTATAAAGGCTAAAATGTTAGCACCCAAAAATTCAATGGATTTTTAACAAAAAATCAGTATTAGTATTATAGTATTACATCTGTGCCTTTGCAAGGTTTAAGGAAGAAAAGGTCAGAGGTGGGGAACTTGTTCAGATGTGTTTTAAAATAATTCAAGACAGATTATGAAAATCTGTACTAGGGAGGTACAGTAAACTATATAAAGCTGATGTATAAAAGATAGAGAACCAAGAGACTTTATTTAGTGAACAAAAATGACGTTTAAAGTTTGTACTAAAGATGAGAGAGAACACTTCTTTGATCCTTTCATCACTTAACTCAGTGAATTGCTTATAGGGCACTCTCCATTTCCTCTATAAAGTATACTCTCTAATTCACAGAACACACGAAATTTGAGTAGGCTCCTATCCAATAGTCCATTTCTGTTTCAGGAAATAGAGTCACAACTCTTTTAAGACTTGCCTGAAGTGTTTTTTTTTTTTGTAGGAGTACTGCTATTTACTCCGCCACTAATTAGCTGATTGAATTGGGCATGAACTCCACCTTAATTAATTTATTTATTTTCTTTTTATATTTATTGAATCACTGTGGGAAAAGTTACTAAACTTTCAGGTTTAAGTCTCGGTCATACAATGATCAAACACCTTTCCCTTCACCAGTACTCATTTTTCACCATCAAGAACCCCAGTATCTCCCCCCTCCCACCCCTCCAAATGCCTGTGAGGCAGATGATTTCTACTTAACTCTGCTCTACATTGATTACATTCATTATTTTGACAAAGATGCACCATTATTGTTTAGAATTTCCCCCCAAACAATCAGAATTGCTGAAAATTCTAATTGCAGTTACCCCATCACCGCCAGCCTCATGCCTGGCTTTCCAATAAGCTCTGAGGTGGCGGCCACCTTGCTGCTGGGGCGGAAAGGCAGAAGGGAGCAACACCCTTTCCTTCCTGGGGAGGCATGGCGCTGTAGTTTAATGCATGGTCCATTCACTTTTCTGCCACAAGCTTCTGAGCTCTGGATTAAGTCCTTTTGCCTCTGGAGCCATGGCCATGCCAGAGAGCCGCTTGTGGGTGGCAACTCGTGACCTCGGTAGGGCATGAAGGATGAGCCGGTACCAACCCCCTTCCCATGAGACTGCGGTCGCCCCGTCACCGCTGGCTCATACCTGGCTTTCCAATAAGCTCTGAGCCGGCGGCCACCTTGTATGCAGTCCAGATGCATTTCTGCCAAAAGCCTCTGGGTTTCAAGATTTGTTTCTGAGTCTCCGGTATCATGGCTATTAATCAGGAGCCAGAGAGGCCGTTTGTAGGCGGCGACTCGGGTCTCGTTGGGATGGGGAGAAAGTTGGCTCCACCCACATGTGGTGAAGCCCCATGTGTCTCGTCACTGCAGGTCCAAACCTGACTGTCCAGTGGCCTCTGGAGGATGGTGGTCACCAGGCCGCTAGGGGGAACAGGCCAAGGCACGAAACCTATTCCCACCTGAAGTGGCCCAGCGCCAGTAACCTACTGCAGGAACAGGACGCATTTCTGCCAAAAGCCTTTGGGTTCCGAGATTCGTTTCTGAGACTCTGGGATCATGGCCATTAAAGCAGTTCATCAGGAACTAAAGAGGCTATGCCTCCAATTATATAGCTAAGCCGGAGTTGGTTTGTGGGTGTGTCTCCCACATACCTAACTTTTGGCCGTTTACTTTCTTGGTAAACTTTGCCCCAAGTTTTTGGGGTCTGGCCAAAGGCACAGCAGCAATTTTGGGGTATCTGAATGTCTGACGTTGCCATCAGGCTGCTGATGCACTCACCTCGCAGGTACAGATTGACCTGCTGGTGGCACTATACCCCCCTTGCCTGAAGTTTTTTAACTTCATGTGTCATTCATTTTACTTAATTAAATATACAAGATATCTTTTGCCCTGTAAGATAATTTATTCAGAGGTTTTGGAGATTATTAGGCCAGACATATTTTGAGAGCAGCATTGTTATGCTACCATGGCACATAGGGTTCAGTGAAAGAGCTATAAAAATTGCTACACTAAAGTTTCTAAATTCTAGTTTAAGCTAATGGCAGCTAAGTTGTGGAAAGTGTATATAATTTACTAAATGGCATATAAAGAATCACTCAGGGGCTAGGGAAATATCTCAAAGGTCTGGGGCACATGTTTTTCACTGGGAGGTTCAGAATCAAGCCCAGGCATAGCCTGGTCTCTTGATCACCACCAATCCCTGTGCCTCACAACAAGATCAGCCCCTCAAAATGGCAAACATTCCCCCTAAAAAAAGGAAATCACTCAGACCAACTTTAAATATCTGAATTTCCATATATAGAGAGAAATATCTGAATTTCCATAATATATAGAGCAAACACATGAATTCACATTTTAGTCAGTGATACGTATTTCACTAAAGAGCTTGCTTATTGGCTATTCTTTTTCCATTTCCTATATAATGAACTCATATTTTCCTCATCAGTATATGATGTTGTTGTTTTAATTGTCTTTTGATCCCTATTCTTGCCATGAAAATCAGTGCTAGCTATAAAATCTGATTTGCCCACTTATTCTTTATGTAAATGTTTTATTTTTAAATTATTTTTTATTTTATTTCAAACCCATATTTTAAAGAGAATTATTTTAAGATTCAATAATTATTTTTATGGCTAGAACACAATTGAGTTATTATTTCTTTCAGTTGTTCAGGAGACCAAAAACAGAAAAATTTTCAGATTTCTCAATTTGACCTACTCTGGTTTTTTTTTTGTTTTAGTTATTGCTGTTATTACCTTATTAACAGCAGCTTAAGAAAGGAATAAACTAAATCTAAAAATGCCCTCTAAACTGGAACAATTTTTAGATTTTATTTCAAAATAAAATTTGATAGAATTCTAGATTAGTAATGGGAAGACATTCCCATAAAGGAATGAGTTGGGAAACTTGTGACAGACTACCTTTAGTGAAAAGTCCGATATATTTTAGAAAGCTGCATTCTTGATTATACTTACTGAAGTATGAGAGAAATTGGAGATTTTATACAAATATCAAGCCTATATAATTAAATTGAATTATATACTTAGAAATTAGTCGTAATGAAGGCTGAGCAGGCATAAACTTCTTGAGAAGGATAGTCTCCAACTTAAAATATTTCTCCATATTACGATTCCTGAAACTGTTTCAAAGTCTCTCAATCTTCAATTAACTTAAAATAATTTAGAGAGTTAACACATTCATTAAAGATTATTGTTATGTTTAGTACTTATTTTATTTACTTGTATTGGAGAAACTAATTTACTAGGCACATGATGCAATAATGTAAGGATTACAAGGTGGTTGAAGATACAACTTTTACTGTCCAAGAATTCCTATTACTTACAAAGAAAAAGAAACATCCCCCAAGGTATAAGGCCTAATTCTCCTTTTCTTAAATCTAATCCTACCTTATTAAAGCCCTTTTGAAAATTCTTAATTTTCATACGTCATATGTCCTTAAGGAAGTATCAGCCACACTAGATTCTAGTCATGAGTCCAATGCATGCTGGGATGACAGAGTGTAAGGTTCTGAGGGAAGTTATGTCCCAAAAGGTTATGTTTCACTTTTTTGCCTAGTAATAACTCTGAGTTTTGAGAAATACATAACTCCTGACCTAAAAAATATATAAGGGGCATATGGCAAAAGACTAAACTTACCAAGTTGAGGAAAATGAGATATTCTTAACAATTTTATTTTATTATGTAGTTTACTCCTGTCAACAACTCTCCAGTGGATAGTGGATCATTTGGCCAAGTGAAAGGTCCTCCCTTGAAAATAACAAGTGTAATTCTGCCTGGTGGATTTAGCCATTACATGGGATCAGACATCACTTTAGCTACTGAAACTGAAGGTACTGTCAAAATAAGTATTAAAAATAAAAAGCTTAATATCATTAATTTGCATTTCCTAAAAACTGTCTGTTCAAGTTTCTTGTGGCTATCCTAGTTTTAAATGCTGTTTTTGGTTCTGCTCAACTACTACTAATACGTTATAACTGAATATTTGCATTTTGAATTTTCTAACATTTGTACATGTCGTACTAACTTCTTATTCAAATCTATTATTCATTTTGTGTATTTTATAATAAATGACTACCAAAAAAGTTGTTTCTTTAAAAAAAGTAGAAATCAAAGGTTTCAAAATATTGCTATACACAGGATATCTTACAAAGGCATCAAACTCCTTCCTTGAAATCACAGTGAAATATTCATGAAGCTAAAACTAGGTAAGAGTGTCAAGAAGGAAACCTTCAAAGAAGAAAGTACGTTTAAAAAAACCAGACCACAGACATGGTTCTATTCTATTATTTACATTTAAACTCAGAAAAAAAGCATTTCCTCCTATTCTACATGTTCATTGGCAGTCATTTTGGTCAAGTTGGGGGGAGAAGGCACTCCTGCTCTTTCTCTGGGGTCTCTCCTTTTCCATTCCTTTTAGTTTCCCACTTCACCTCAGACCACTGTTAAACATGAAACTAACATTACAACTATAAAATTACCTGAGAACCAACTAAGTATATATTGTTTTATGTCCTTTCTGAAATTAACTCAGTTTATTTTTTTAAATTTTTATTAGTGAGACACCATGATGAAGTTAATTCAGTTTAAAGAAAACATAATTTATTCTAAAATGTTCATTTTAACTTATTTTTTATGCTTCAATTTCCTTAAGTTTTATATTTAATCACAGTGAGAATTGTTATGCTCTTGATATAGCCTCAATAAAATTAGAACAGATTGTTATTACAAATAGCAATGTAAATAATATAATGTCATTTTCAAGGATAACAAGTTTTCCTATCAAAAACTGGGGGAAAAAATGCACAGAAACTTCCTCAAAGAAGAAATACAAATTATCAAAAGACAAATGAAAACATGCTCTACATCAGTAATCATCAGAGAGATGCAAATCAAAACAATGAGATATCATCCCATGCCACAGAGATTAGCACACATTAAGAAGAACAAGAACAACTAGTGTTTCAACTGGATGCAGGGAGAAAGGGACTCTTATTCATTATTGGTGGGAATGCCAACTGACCAACCTTTGAGGGAAACCATATAGGCATTCCTCAAAAAAATTATAAATTGAGCTTCCATATGACCCAGCAATACCATTCCTAGGAATATTCCCTAGAGGCCAAAAATCACATTGCAGAAAAGCCATCAGCACTTCTATGTTCATTGCAGCTCTATTCACAATAGCCAGAATGTGGAAACAACCTGAGTACCCGAGAACAGATGACTGAATAAAGAAACTATGCTACACCTATTCAATGAAATACTATGTGGCTTCCAGGGAAAATGAAGTCATGAAACTACTTATGAATGGGTGTAGACATGGAGAGTATCATGCTGAATGAAATGAGTCAGAGGGAGAGGGACGGACATTGCACTCATTTGCAAGATATTTTTTTTAAAAAATGAGCAAATTATCCAAGGACAGTAGGGTCAGAAGAACTGGTGCATGGTTGTAAGCTTGCCACAAGTGTGTGTGTGTGGTGGGGGGGGGGGGGGGCAGGTCAGGTGGGAGAGCAGAGAGCAGTTAGGACAGAGAAGGGACTGCTATGACAATGATGGTTGTCCAAAGTGCTGAAAGGAGGTGAAGTTATAGACATGATAACCTTTTTAGTACTTGTATTTATTGCAAACCATTTTGACCCAAAGGGGAGTAATGGGGGGGGGGGGAGAAAGAGAAGAGATAGAAAGAGAGAGAGGAGAAGAAAAGTATCTATCATAGAGACAGGTTGGGGGGAGGGAAACTGGAAACATTGGTGGTGTAAATGTACACTGGTGAAGGCATGACTGAAACCCAATCATTAACAACTTTGTAACTGTGCTTCACAGTTATTCAATTAGAAAAATTTAAAGAATAACAGTTTTCATTTTCACATCATTCCCATAATGTACTTATTTCCATATGATTTATTGTGTAACTACTTGTCTATTTTCTGTCCCAATTTTTTTTAATTTGTTGAAAAATATGATCCCTTTTGCTTTTTGATTTTTAGGGGGTTGTTTATCCCACACAGTGCTCAGGGAACCCAGGAGTCACTCAAGGTGACTCTCAGCAAAAGGCCCAAATACTTCAGTGCCCAGAGCAGTAATGCATTGCTATCTGGGTCTGTGGTGCTGGGCCACTTAGGCCACACCTGGTAGTACTGGGGTGCAAGGGGTCATGTGATACTAAGGATTAAACTCAGAGCATCAAGCATATAAAGCATGTTCCCAGTTTCTTTTAGCTATTTCTCTGGTCTTCTTCTTGTGGAAATTTATAATAGAACACACATCTTAAAAAGTACTTAGGGGCAAGAGAGATACAGCTCAATGGTCTTTGCATGTGCAAAGTCTACAATAGAACACACATCTTAAAAAGTACTTAGGGGCAAGAGAGATACAGCTCAATGGTCTTTGCATGTGCAAAGTCTACACTTGATACTTGGCAATAGCAATGTCCCCCAAGAACCATGGGGGTGGGGTGACCTCTGAGGTCAAAGCTGGGAGCAGCTTTGAGCCATGCGGGTATGGCCCCAAGCAAACAAAAATAATAAAAATTACCTAGCAGGCACATGGAGAGTGGGGGTTGGGTCTTGGGCACTTTGATGGTGAGTACTTCAAGACCAAAATGTCAACCTCATTGTAAACACGTTGCCTTAATTATAATAAAATATTAATTAAAAAATTTCCCAGAAAGAATAAATTTGGTTTGCTTAGTCAGAGAAATTTAAGCATAATTAAGTACAAAAATAGAACCCAATTCTTTAATTTTTTATTAGTATCATAAAATATGTATGGCATACATTCAGCTGAAGGAACAACCAACTTTCATTAGTTTTTAAATGTAATTCTTATTCTTTCATAATTCCTAATTTCAGACAAAAAGAGCAAAAATTCAGGGATTCTGATAGATAGTCCTCAGAGCATCGATGCAGAAATGCCTTTTCGACAATTCAGAGGGATCCATTTTTCTCCACCTCTCTTATCGCATCCAAATATGACTTCTCCAGCTACACCCATGTACCAGAGAAATGAAGATGAGGGAAGGTAAACCTATTCTGTATTTCAACATAATTTCTCCTCATTAAAAAAACATTACTGGATCTGGAGAAATAGCACAGTGGAAAAGGCAATTGCCTTACATGCAGCTGACCATGATTTAATCCTCAATACCACATATGGTCCCCTGAGCACAGGACTGTTTTGTACAGGAGCACATGTTTTGCATACAGGAGGCCCAGGGTAACCTCTGGCACTGCATGGTCCCTGAGCATCACCAGAAGTTATCCCTAAACTCCAAACTTAAGACTAGCCCTGAGCACCACCAGTGAGGTCCAAAATCCAAAAAGAACAAAAAGACCTAGAACTGACTACCAATATAGAATAGTATTTAATGAAGTACTTATTTGAGAAAACACTGAGTACTTACACGGGAACTACTTTTAAGTGCATTTTCTTTCAGGTTCCTGAATATGCAAAGCTATTTATTTTTATTTTACACCACAGTTAATAAGTTCGACTCCAAAATCAATAATTAGTTCCTCCAACCTCCCCTTATGCTTCCAACTTGCCCCTCAACAACTCTGAACCTACTTTAAAGACCGGGTCAATGTCTAAGAGTTCCAGTAACTTAAGAAGACTTGAGGTCTTCTACCTCTCATCAAGAATCCACTTTTCTGCTTAACATCTATCTACCCAGATTCCAAAGTATTACATGTCACTCAGACTATTTGGAGTCAGTCTCAGTCCTATCCATTAGAATAACCTACCCTGAGGTAATAAATCTAACTTAGACCTGGTTCTTACTATATTGCCTCTTACGGTCAGGTCCCACTGAGTCCTAGAAGAACCGTATTTTTTTTCCTCCAACGTAGGATCATTTTCTCTTTTATAATCTTCTTGAAAGTTTGGAGCACTCTCCTCTCGTTGTTCATCAATTTGCTCGAGTGGGCTCAGTAACGTCTCCATTGTGAGACTTGTTGTTACTGTGTTTGGCATATTGACTACGTCACAGGTAGCTTGCCAGGCTTTGCAATGAGGGCGAGATACTCTCGGTAGCTTGCCGGGCTCCCCTAGAGGGGCGGAGGAATTGAACCTGGGTCGGCCGGGTCAGCCATGTGCAAGGCAAATGTCCTACCACTGTGCTATCGCTCCAGCCCTTGAAAGTTTACACGTATAAAAAAATTAATTACTACATAATTACCTCAAGTTGGCTGCTTCATTAAGAAATATGTTACATTGTTTGATTTCTACGTATTTCTTCTTTTTAGTGTTATTTTATATTTTAATTTTTTTATTGAATCATCATGAGATACATTTACAAAGCTTTCATGTTTGAGTTTTAGTCATCCAATGATCAAACACCCATCCCCCCGCCAGTGCACTTTTTCCACTACCAATGTTCTCAGTATCTTTCCCGCCACCCCCATCTCAACCTCTTCCTGCCTCTGTGGCAGGCACCTTTCTTCTTACTCTCTCTCTACTTTTGGGCATTATCATTATGAGAAGCCATCATGTTTGGTCCTTACTCTCCTTTCAGCACCCACCTCCCATCCTGAGCGATCCCTCCAACCATCATTGACTTAGTGGTCCCTTCTCCACCCAATTGCCTATTCTCCCAGCATGAGGCAAGTTACCAAACTGTGGAGTAATCTTCCTAGCCCTTGTCTCTACTGTCTTTAGGTGTTAATCTCATATTATGTTATTTTATATTCCACAAATGAGTGCAGTCATTCTATGTCCCACTCTTTCTAATTTCACTTAGCATAATACTCTCCATGTCCATCCACTTATAAGCAAACTTCATGGTTTCATCTTTTTAACAGCTGCATGGTGTTCCATTGTGTGTATGTACCAGGCTCTGCCATGCGGGTGAGATACTCTCAGTAGCTTGCTGGGCTCTCCGAGAGGGGTGGAGGAATCGAACCAGGGTCAGCCGGGCCGGCTGCACGCAAGGCAAATGCCCTAGAAATTAAATATTAATAGTATGAATAGGCTACTACATTTTTCAATTTTATACGAAGTATATTCCAAAAATATACAATTTAGTAAATGAGCAAAGGGGAATTAAGAAAAATTTAAGGAGAAAATCTGAATAGACGACTATAAAAGCATAAAAGTGTGTCTATCCTAAAAACAATATATTGGCTTTATGTTAGAAAATATTATATTTTAGATAATGTTTAACATCTGTACTAATAAGCAAAAGATTGTAATAAAAATTATGAATTTTAAAAAATTACCTGAACAGAATATTCAATATAAATGAAATATCAATTCATAATTGAAAAGTGAAAAACTCCTTAGCAAGCTAGAAGCGAACAAATCTTTCTCTCTTTTTTTTTTAATTTTTATTAGTGAAACACCATGAGGCACAGTTGTAGATTTACAAATTTTTGTGCTTGGGTTTCAATTATACATTGATCGAGTACCCATCCCTCCACCAGTGCCCATTTTCCACCACTATAGATCCCAGTATCCCTCCCACCCCCCATGCCCCATCCCACCCTGCCTCTGTGGCAGAGCATTCCCTTTTGTTCTCTCTCTCCTTTTGGGTGCTGTGGTTTGCAGAAGAGGCATTGAGTGGCAATCATGTTCGGTCTATAGTCTACTTTCAGCATGTTTCTCCCATCCTGGGAGAATCCTCCCAACACCCTTTATTTGGTGCTCCCTTCTCTATCAAGAACAGAGCTGTCTTCATCTAGCAGAGAGCAACTATAACCAAGTGAGCGAATGCCATGCTTCATGGCGAAATGCTGAGAAATCTGTATTATCTTTTAAAGAAGCTTCTTGAAAAACTGGCTTCAAGGCTATTAATTCCTAAACTGCTGCTTATCTATGAAACTGTGTCATTCTTTCAAATATAATAATAATCTGAATAGAGTATTCTCTATGAAATGAGTCATTCATTTCATTGAGTCTTTAAAAAAAAAATCCCACCATGCTCTTCTAGATATATCTGTGTAAGTTCTTTTTTTGATCTTTTGCTTGCAATATTCTGTCTCTATCTTAGAATGTCGTCATTCTGAGTATAATGTCTTAGAGTTTTTATCTTGGAGTATATATTTGTTGGGACACTAGAGATCTCTTGGAACTTGGTACCTACATTTCTCAACTCTAGGAAATTCTTTTTTTCTTTTTGGGTCTCACCCGGCGATGCACAGGAGTTACTCCTGGTTCATGCACTCAGGAATTACTCCTGACGGTGCTCGGGGAACCATATGGGATGCTGGAAATCGAACCTAGGTCGGCTGCGTGCAAGGCAAACACCCTACCCGCTGCCCTATTGCTCCAGCCCCAACTCTGGGAAATTCTTATCTATGATTTCCCTAGTTACTCTTCATCAGGTTTGTCTTGCTGTTTTTCAGGGACTCCCGTGGTTTTTATATTGTTCCTCTTGAAATCATGCCATAGTTCTCTTGTGTGCTGTTCCTTTCTGTTAAGGCTTTTCCCATCTTCCATTGTTTTCTAGAGGTTTCTTGCATCTCATCTTGGAACTCTTCAGTCTTCTCTCAGTTGCTGTTATTCTGATGTTCAGACCTTCTATGGAGGCTTTTATATCACCTCCCATACTTTTTATTTCTGTCATTTCTGATTTTAGTTTCTTCATTTAGGCTCTCCCTCTTTCTCATGCATTGCTGACTACCTATGTATTCATTTCTTTGAGCTAGTTAAACATCCTCAACATGTCACTAAAGGCATTCTCTGAGAGTTCACAGAGCTGGTTGGTACCGTTAGAACCTTCCTATTATTAGTTTCACTCGTTGTCACTTATTATTTTCACTCATTCAGCTGGTGGGCTTCTATGCAGCTTTCCCATTGCATGTGCTGTGCTCCTGCTGGGCTGATGGCAGAGTCTGCGGAGTTAGGTTTTGTTGTTGTTGTTGCCCTTTTCTATCCCTGCCCATCTTCACTCACCCAATGAACAGGATACATGTGAGCAGTATGAGGTGTGATAAGTGGAGTTGTCAGATGGCTGCATGTGTGGCCATGCTGTTGAGGAGGTATGGAGGTGGACCTATGGTTAGGTAGAAGTCAGACAAGGAGTCCTCTTGAGACTGGGACCCAGTTGGAAGGGAGGGGAATTGCTTTCAGTTTCAAAAAAGGCCACAGCGATATTGGTTGGGTGGTTAATCTCACCTAGAAAGGTGCTAGAGCAAGCTAAGGGGTTGAGGGCCTGCTGAAATGGGGGTGGTTAGGATGTGGAGGCTCTTGTATTTTTATCATTTTCGTAGAATTAGGTTTGGTTTTTTCTTTTTTCTTTTCTTTTTTTTTTTTTTTTTTTTTGGCAGGGCAAGGGGCACACCAGGCAATGCTCAGGAATTAGTCCTAGTTTTGCACTCACCCTGCAGTGCTCAAGGGACCATAGGGGATGTTAGGGATCAAACCCAGGTCAGCCTCATACAACACAAGCACCCTGCCCACTGTACTATCACTATGGCTCCTCTAGATTTAGTTTTAAAGGTATTTTGGGTACTGGTTCCAGTGGTTATACAGTGATTTTGTATATTCCTCAAATAGCGTATATTTTTAATTTAATCACACAATATTTAAAATTCTTCGCCCAATACTTATTTTGTATTCTTTAATGTGTAGTTTTAAAGCACTTATCACTCCGGGAAGAATAAAATCCATTAAAAAAATAACTATGTAGTTCTTACATTGTCCAGAAGGTGTCTTTGTTGTCCTTGAATTCTGACAGCAGCTTTCATTACTGACTACATGTTGCTTTTATAATAGTGGCCTTTCAAATAATAAAATGAGAAAATTAGCAAAACTGGTTTTCAATGCAGAAAATTTTACAATAAGAGTATAAAACAGAAAAAATGTAACTCATCCAGCATCCTGTTAACATTTGTCACATATTCTTTCAGCCATTTCTCCTAGGTATTTGTAATAAGTTTGAGAACAAACATTTGATTTGTATATACATATTGTTAACTTTTTGAGATATTATTTTTACTATATATTTAGTACATTCAAATTTAATATTGGGAGTAAAATAGTTTGTAATATGTGATATTTAAATTATGATTAGTAATAAGTAT